AGACAATTTTAATACTTACATAGGACAGCAGCACTATAAAAATTTAAAAATCCGGCACAACACAACACTAGGCAGCAAAGGAATCACGTAAACTGAACAATTGACATCTCCAGCGAGGAATGCGAGGATACTCCGTAACAATTTAGTCAGTTTCCTTGGCACTATATCACTAACCGATATTGAGCAGTGCTAAATACCAATGACTCATGTTTTTAAATAACTTACATCTAAGCTTACTGTAGTCATACATAACTTCGCGGGTGTCATTTGTTTACTTAGGCGAAACGCACTAGCAGGTACTACGTATACTGTTTGTCACAATTATGGTTAGTTGGAGCTATTAATACTAACATTGTGAAAACAGAACATCCACTGCGTTTAAGTACTGTTTTTATCTTTAAATAATCTTGTTTTGCATTAAAAAATAAGAAACTGGCCGCTATCACATATAATCACAACAATGAAAAGAAAATAACTGGCATAACTGCAACTTAGAGATGTGTATTATTTTGTTCCTAATCGACTAATGTTACAAAAAATCTTTATATTGCAAATCTGACTTATTTTATAAGATCGCTTTTAAAAAGAGAAATATTTTACAAAATTAATGAGTATTTATTTATTTAGCATTACTCGTTTCTTATTTAGATACCGCAATGTAATGATTGTCTGTGCGGTAACGAACTATTAAAACGTAGCATAGGGATAAAATCATAGAGAGAACACGGTATAAAACTGCCTGTAAGTGGAAGCGATACAGGCAACGAGAGAGATGGATATCCGATGTTTTCCTTTGTCGCTGTTAACTGTTAATATCATTGCGTTCCGTACTGCATTGCACTACCATAATTTTTATAACAAAATATTAATTAAGTAATTATTCATTTAACTTATTTTTAACAAGATATTGTAATACAATAATTATGAGAACTATTTTTTTCTCAGGCTATTATTAGTAAATTTTGAAAAGTTGAAATGTAAGTTTCGGAGACACTAAAGTTTTTACAGTCTTTGACAGAAACTGACACAATTGACATTGTTACATTAGTCACATTATATACAATAGTATCCTCACTTGATTCTAATCTGTTTTAATTTGTAAAATAAGTATAACAAGGGATTCATCGAGTGTACTTTTAGGATTAAGTGTGTGGTATTTAATTTTGTGTAACTATCAAGGTAACTGGATTTTAATACTTTTATAAATTAGTTTTTGTGTTGTGTTTATTTCTGTTGTATATTGCTCAATGTGCACTATTTTAAGTGGTGACAGGCGCGATCGTGTCTAAATCTGTTCTCATACCAACTAAGACACACATAAATTAATTATTGTTTATGTATGATTGCATGTAATATGTTAAATCTTTTATATTACATAAACAATAGTTATATAAAAACAATACCAGTAAAACAGTGTAATAAATACTTTATACACCCCTTTTTACGATAGTAAGAAAGAATCTCAATACCAATTACGAATAGGTTTTTTTTATGTTAGAGGGGGCAGACGTACGGATGGGTCGCCTGATGGAAAGTGACCATCGCCACCCATGAACGTCAGCAACTCAGGAAGAAAACCTAAAAGAAATATGCTTTAATACTGAACCCAATTTAAAATTATAAAAGACTTCCACTAACCACCTCATGGCTCCATCAGCTCAGACTATCATTTCTTCATCCGATTTGTTCAACAAAACAAAACCTTAAAGTACAAACTCAAAAGGTTTACAATCTGCTGAAGAGATTCTTTATCAAACTCCTGGTTCCTTCATCTATTTCTATGTTCAATGTCTTTTTAAAGACAACCCCCGCACTAAAAAAACGGACACAAAGGACACCTAGACTCAGAACAATAATTTGTGGATTTGTTTGTCCCATGTGGGGATCAAACCCACAACACTCAGCGATAGGAAGCGGCGAGGTGACTGCTTAAACCACTGCACCATCCATGCAGTCCTCAAATTAGTTCTACGATGCGATCTTACAGTATTATTGTCTGAACTACATATAGATACAAAATTTTATTTCAATATAGCATTTAGAAGTAAAATTAAGAAGCTTTTAAAAATTGTATTAGGTAAAATTTGGGCAATTCAAAAAATAATAATTAAACGTTTAATATCTTGAAAATTGTTACAATTGAGATATAGTATTTCATAGTGAAATCTATTAGTAATAAAAGCTACAACAACCCCCTCAATTATCTAGGTTGACTTACCCAGTAACCCTGTATAATTATATAATTATGCAATTATTGCCTTCTCTTCTATCCACCCTTCCTTATGTACCCCCAATCTTCCACTGTCTACCCCTTTGGGAATATAGGTGTAAGCATTTCCTCTTCAGTAATAATAATAATTAATTATTATTATTGATGATAGTAGGCCAAAAGCTCCCTATGTAAGGAGAGGCCTATATCCATACTATTAGATGCTGTTGATGATGATGGTGATTAATAATAATAATAATCTGAATTCTGAGATCTCTTTTCTCCTTTACAAGATGTCCCTCAGTTTAGAGTGCCCTATGGCCTAGGCTTCCTCTAACTGCCTTCATTGTTGTCAGTCTGCCACAACCTTAGTTCAGTGTGGTCCCATGGGTAGATGCATATTGTTTTACCTTCTTGTTGGGCGCCCAGGTTTTCTGCTGCCATCCCATCTTTCTGTAAAAAATAAGATCTTAAATAAAATGTTAGTGTACATAAGCATGTAAAAATTTGCTGTCTTTTACATTTTTACAAATCATTCATTTTAGTCAAAGTGTGAGAGCACTTATCTGTATTGTAACACAAGCCAAATGATTTGAATGGTTTATCTGTAAACTGTTGTGGATCAGAGTTATATTTTACAATGTAATTCAAACTAAAACTGATAATATTGTGTTGGGCTACAATGTATTTTAATTAACTTTTCACTGTAGACTCACCGCTAGGTTTTATTGTCTTTCTTTGTAGTAGTGGTAGACTGCACCAGGGATTTCCTTTCTAGGGTACACCAGTTCCCCGACCACTGGTACCTGAGACGGCGTGCGGTTTTAGTCGGTTCGAGTCCGACATTGCCACAACTAGGTGGTATCCGAGGGGATTTCCGCACGGAAAAAAAAAAAGGGTACACCTTGTTCCCCGACTACTGGTACCGGAGACGGCGTGCGGTTTTAGTTGGTTCGAGTCCGACATTGCCACAAGTAGGTGGTATCCAAGGGGATTTCCGCACAGAAAACAAAAAAAAAAGAAGTGGTAGACTAGGATGGAGGAAATTTAGAGTATCCAACATTTTGTATATCAAGTACAACTAAAAATCTACTTTGAAAAAAACATATTACCGCCCACTTAAGGCAAATTCCTTCTGACTAAACTAATGTTCAATTGAAGTTGTCTGTATTAAGTCCAAACATATAACATGACGAACAATGAAATAATTTAAAATATTACCCAAAGGCAAAGGTGGGTCTAGTACAAACCTATGTCCATAACTTGCATGATCACTTACTAGTGTTGGAAATGATTGCTACTTTTAAATAATAATTCTATTATGATGTAGTGATTGGTTTTAGTCACTGCTACTGCAACTGAGATTAACCATTAACACAATCAAAAACCTAAACTGTAGCAAAAAAAAAACAATCTTTTGTAGATTTAAACCTTTAATCACAATCATAAGTCGCAGTGCTTTTAATCATAGGTGAGATTATATGATTTATAACAGGTGGCTGTGATTTTATCAGTACTTACTACCATATACATATACTAATTTGAGTTGCAAGAGATCAAATTTTTGAAATGAATAAACGAGATAGCTAAAAGGGCCCCTCCCTTTTAGCTATCTCGTTAGCTAATAGGTGTTCTCCTTATCACTCAATAACGTTATGGAAAGTGGCATAATATGGTAATGGCGTTGCCCGAGTCCTCAGCTAGTGGTGTCTTGATAGTATTGCCTTCCCGAGTCCAGCTAGTATTTGAGATAAGGCTATGCGTAATAGGACTGACCCAAAGAACGCCAACCATCCCCGGTTGGCGTTCTTTGGGGCAGGCCTTCGATCAGCATATCACCGCTATAACGGCCAGCCGCAAGAAGGCCATGTCAGCGTGTGCCGGACGTCGCCTAAATAGAGAATTTACCCGATCGGTGTCCGCGCCGTTGCGGGCAGGCGCTAGGAGGGAGTCCGGATGTCTTAAAAACAGCAGTTCCCGGACCCCTTAGTGTTGCAGTGGAAACCCCCTCGGCCGTCACCCCACCGGGGTTTACGGCGTCGTTTACGCGCACACGTAAAAAGCCCTTCGATCAGCAGATTTACCCTTAGCTATCATGCAATACTGATTGGATCAAAATAATATCATTTAGTTCTATGAAGTGTGTTTAAACTTATGACTACCATTTTCCCAAAAACCCTCAAACTCATTACCTGTGTTATTAGACCGTTTAAGTAAAACATTCTAAGGAGGTAATTATTTTTACGAGCTTATTTATTGTTTTGTGTTTTTCTTCAAGTTATTAATTGCCTCCAATCAACTTATTTGTGATAAAAGGTGATAAATATATTTGGTTTTATTATCGTAAATTGAATATTAATTGATTCAAATGTGGTGATTCATTTATTTTTCATTATCTTTTAATCGTGCAATTCTTGATGTTTAGAAGAACGATAACGTATTGATGAAGACTCTTCGCAAGCACGACATTTGATTTACATGGGTTATTTCAGCAACTTTACGCCAAAGCACGTATTTTGCAATTGTGGGAATCTCCGAGGAAACTCAGTAACACTTCTAGGCGAAATACGATCTTGGAGAGTTATGTAGCACGCTTCCTGAGTCCAGGGATATAGAAGCTCCACACAGTGTACTATCCATAGCACCTATAGCCCTGGTTATCTCAAACCTATGGTCAAAGATCATCCTACGTACTCATTATCGAAACATGGCGTTTCGATGTACCATTACAGGTTTCTTTTCATATTCCCACCATAAAATAGTAGTTTTTTTTGTCAGCAGGTAATCAAGAATGGCGGAAGTAGGTTTCCCCGGTCAGCATTCGACCACCACAACGGTGACGTCAAGCACTGCTGTCCAAACTAATATACGATTCGATCCGTCCTATATTAAGACTATACCTGGTATACTGAAGATTGTGCAAGTGGTGAGTATCTATAAACTTTATTTTTATTGTATTTATAATACACTTCCTTCATCTTTAGAGATACTAGAATGATATCATAAGCTGACGCAGAAGCAGAAGCAAGCAGACGTGGTCTCTTACTATGGGCCTAATCAGAAAGCTCAGAGTCGCTCAGCATGCTATGGAAAGGGCTATGCTTGGCGTCTCCCTGCGTGATCGAATCCGCAACGAGGAGATCCGCAGGAGAACAAAGGTGGTCGACATAGCCCAACGGATTAGCGCGCTCAAGTGGCAATGGGCAGGGCACATGGGGCCGATGGCGATGGGGCAGCAAGGTTCTCCAATGGAGACCGCGTACTGGAAAGCGCAGTGTTCCCACACTGCGCTTTCCGCTTACCGCTTACCCGATGGACGGACGACCTGGTAAAGGTTGTCGGAAACCGTTGGATGCAGACCGCAACGAACCGTCCCCGCTGGAAATCATTGGGAGAGGCCTATGTCCAGCAGTGGACAAGCATAGGCTGAGGTAGAGTATCATAAGCTGTCATAACCCTATAATTTTCGTCAATAAAACGTCTGGACGCAAAAACCATTTGATAGATCTGGCCCAGTGCAAGTTTATTCAACCACATCAACTTGCTCTCGACAACGAGCGAGTTCGGGGTTGAGATTGGTGAAGATTTCAGTGCGGGCCAATCGCAGCGCAGAACGCGGTTACCGCGACGATCGAGTAGATGTGAATTAAACTCGCACTTGGGCTTCAGTTGACAGTGAGAAGGGGAATTCGCCCACACGTCTCTCCATATGTTCTTACTGCCGTTTGAGACCGCTTTCTAGTCCCCGCATTTTGAAACTGAAGCAAGATCTTCCTGTTGCTGCAATATTGCACTTTCATCTTAAAAGTGTGACTAGCCCGCGTGATGAATTACATAATATTGCAATATTACATGCCCTGTAGTCATTATTGCCTGTTTGTATACTAACTTTTCATAATTATTCCTCTACTACAACTTCTGTTTACTCTTGTCCCACTTTATTACCAAAAGCCACAACATCGCCACCTCCATTTCTTCTTCCTCCGAGCATTTTTCCCAAAGTAGGTTGTCAGCTTTTTTTAAATCTGCTACGATACGGCTGAACTTCGATTTTTTACGTGGAGCGACTGACATCAGACCTCCACAACTCAAGTACTGCAATACAAGTAATTTCAATTCTGAGCCGACCTTTGAACAAATTCAGTGTACAAATTAAAAATTTCCTCAATGTCATACTATACTTCTCGGCACCAAAACTAGGCATGAACTCGTCTATTAGCTATCGATTTGTCCATTCAAAAGTACCTAAGTATTTTCTATATCTATACAAATAAATAAAATTGGAGTGTCTGTTTGTAATATTAAAATAACCGCTTTTTACTAAATGCATATGTATGTTTACACGGTACATATGCCAAAATAACATTTTTTACAATTTTTTTCTGTCTGTCTGTCTGTTTTGATCCGGGTAATCTCTGAAACGGCTGGACCGAATTCGACGGGACTTTCACTGACAGATAGCTGATGACATAAGGAGTAACTTAGGCTACTTTTTTAGACTATCTTCGCCCCGCGGTGTTGCCCGCGGTTATAACAACAAACGCGGGTAACACCGCGGGTCTCAGCTAGTTGTAAATAAAATTCTTTTGGTGTACAATTAATTTGTTCTGTTGGTAAATAGCTAATCTTAAAAATGCTTATAGTATACTTCCGAATGCTTATATATATCTTCGGAACTTCTTTGTAGTGATTAAAAAGTCGTCTTGGATAGACCAAGGATGATTTTTAAATTCAATGACTGGGCTTAATTGGCGGCAACAGATAAAAGCGTACAGTGTTTGAATACCAAAGGGTTCGATTCATGTTTGGCGTTAAAACAGTGACCTTGTAAAACTCTTCTGTGTCACGATATCTAAGTTATCAATATAATATTCGTGACGTGGTATGCGACATCAACAATGGCGTGTATCAATTACTACTCCAACACATTTTCGAATAACAATTTTTAGATAAGTACTGATATGATATTATAATGAGGATTTGCTTTATACGTAATTTAGTTATTTTCAATTTTTAAACCATTTTAATAATTCTTTAACCACTCGAAATCTCGTAAACTACTTTGTTCAGAACCCAACCTTTAACTGTCCACTACTGGCCATAGGCCTCTCCTCAGAAAGGAGGTTTTAGCCTACTATACCACGCTTGCCAGACGGGTTGGTACAGGGTTTATTTCTAGTTTTCCTTCTCTTTGCAGTACTGTTGTTCTGCGTAGTTTGCTCCCTTAGTCGGCTCTTACGACACCCACGGTACTAATGGGGGTGGTGACACTCCGTATTCTTAATCCGTCACCACACGGAATCTTCTAACCTCGATTATATTCTTTAATTGTGTATGTCTATGATCGGTACTGGAACATAGGTAAAGGTAGGTAAACGTAGGTAGGTAATAAAATCACGTCTTATTTACTTCCTGGATAAGCAGAGACAATCGAGCGTATTTAGTTAACATTTCAATGAAAAGAGAACATTTTTGGATTTGACAGACAGAAAGAAATACGAAGAAACTAAGTTAAAATTCGGAGAGAGGCACACTCAAATCTAAAATATTATCCATTTTCATAACTCTTGGAATACTCAAGTAAAACTACAAAATTATTGTACTATAAAAATACAACGAGGAACGTGAGGGTAAAGGAAGAAAATACGTTGACACAGTACTGTCATTCCTACATATCATTTTTTTTTCAGTTATGCAGTTTCATTGGTTTCATCTGCATCTTGACGTCACGCTTGAGTTCCGCGCCTCGGGGTGAATTCTTCAATTGGATATCCATGATTGCCTTCTGGTTCACCGGCATTCTCCTAGGATTCTACCTGTTTCATATTCTGGAGAAGTTCTATAAAATTCCTTGGCTGAAGATTGAGTTTGGTTTCTGCTCACTATGGACTTTTTTCTTCTTGTTGGCCTCGATACTGGCGACGACTGTTCACGATAATTCTTATTCGGCTGCTGCGGTAAGTTGATCCACTGATAATCGATTTCTAACTGTTACAAAAAAATGCAATCCTTTTAGTTTTGCCTTGGTAGCTTTTAAATAATTTACATGTACCCTCATATTATAAACAGGAATATAATAACATATACCTAAGCCCTTACTAAAAGATTTTTTGCTACTAACTTAGTATAATTCGCACTTAATAAATATGTGTCATATCTTTTGTAGTTCTTCGGTTTTGTAGCAACAATTGCTTACGCCATCGACTGCTATTTGAAATGGGTGGCTGTTCGCAGCGGTGGACTTGCCCAAGGCACTCGTGTTGTGTCCAAGCAGACGGCTTCCACTGTAGAGTCGCCGCCTCCAAGGGAAGGATATTAAGAAGGTACCACAAAAACTGGGAAATGGGAGTAATAGTATTTTTAAAGTGTTCAGTTGCTGCTGGAAAGTATTATTTGTGAAAAAGCGTATATTGTCCATGGTGGAAATAGAGTAGTAAAAATATGGTCGCGCTTTACAATATTTGTAGAAACGGTTAAAAGACATCGACCTTTTTAAATGCACACATTGTTGTTTTTTAAGGTTTTAAATTATTGCGATGTAATTGTTCAATATGCGTGCATGCGTACAGCAATGGTTGAGTTGATTTTGTTGCACGTACATGCTCTGGTTCTTATCTTAACTGATATGGCAGTTTCCTTCATTGTGTTCATATGAAACACCCTTCCTGTTTCTATGTGTTGATTAATATTTCAATTACACTGCTTTACATTAATCTTAAGTCCTCACTTATATTACTGATGGTTTTATAATTTGGTTTAATATTTGCATTGATGTTCAATTTTTAAAGTTTCACGGTACAGGAAAGTCAATAAGTACACAACGTGTGTCATTCCCAACTCAATCATTTTTTTCTGGTCTAACATTTTAGCTTTATAAGTGTAGTATTTTAGAATAATAATCGGATAAAATAATGTACCTACTTATATTAATTTCATGTTTGGTCTTTATACCAACCGTTGGCGTACTATCGCCAATATTTATCAGCGATGTTTTGTGTAATGCATTTGTTTTGTTAGATATTTTATCAATTCTGTATATTTTACAACCTATACTTATAAATTTTAATCAACTGTTATTATTTTAATGTGCTAGCACGTATTATAGACTTTAAGCTATTATACTCGACGGGAGTGATACCTCGACTTCATAAATCAGGGTTAAGTGTCTTTTTTATCGATTTTTTTCATCAAAATTCCCCCCACCCTAATTGTACGCGGGAGTCACTCAAAGGGTAGCAACGCACTTTTTTCAGTTTATCCTCTCGTCTCCTCAGTTTATAGGAGACTCATTTTAAACTAAGGAATGAAACGGTATAACCAAAGAATCAATGTACCTACAGGGTGTTACGGCTCAATATGACAGACGTGATCTAAATGGTAATGTAATCATGACAATTGTCGCAAATGTATTTTTATATATATTATAGGCACGGATAAATTTTGGATGCACTTTTTAGCGATTCTTGAATGCCAGTATTGGAAGCTAGGAATTTATTTAACTGCTGGTTATTTGACAGCTATTGGCCAGTGTCTTATTGGTGGTATTTTTTTTAGCCATGTGGACCAGGGTCTCACCACAACCGAACTTTTTGGTGGGATAGCATGTAAAATCAAATTGTATGCCCTACGTTGGTAAGTTGGTAAGAAAGTTAGAAAATTTATTGGCACATGCAAAATTCTTTACAAAAAGTGCCTCTCAGAGTGCCTTCAATTGCCATACGAGCATTGGACCGTAACAGCGGGTAAAGAAAACATGTCCCGTCCACCCACGGTCACACTTAAGGCAAGTTAGTCGGTTAACCACATAGAAAGTACTTGTAAAGTTTACATACTGGCGGATTATTTTGTCAATACATGACTTGTTTGACGCCAGGTTGCTCTTACTACCAGGTCTTGTCAGGCAATCCTAAAATAGAGTCTTAAGTAAAATCTTTAAACCTATATCTCAGAGGACAATCTTCATTATTTATTTTTCAGTTTTAATTCGAATAATCAATAAACAACGCCCCTAAAAGATTACTCAGTTCGTCAAGCTAGACTGCTGATAGTGGGCTTTCACAGATACGTACGTGTGATTGTAAATATTGTTCTAATCGGAAAATACCGAATGTGCCATCAATATTAAAAGACTCTTTAAAACATAAAAAAAATTAAGCGACTTTTTCTTGTTGTTTATCTCAGAACTCCTTTATTTATGAACCGATTTGGTAAATTCTTTTTTTATTTGGGAGGGTACGCTTACCGTTTGGTCCTATTCAAATTAAAAAAAAATACCACAATTTTATACCAATTTGTCATATTTTACGCATATTGAAGTCGGTCATACTTTTTCAAAGTTAAATTACATTTGTGTTCAAGACACGTTTATCAAAAGACGTTCAGTATTTATAATGAGTACTACCTACTAGTGAATACTGGCATTCATAGTCCATTTAAATTTTTGATAATAAACTGTTTCCACTGCACTGTAATTTCACGAGCCTTGTACACTTAAGTGCCTTGTTTGCTACAAATAGTAATTAGATATAAATAGTTGAATCTAGCCATAATATAATTAATTGTAGTATTAAGGAAATGCATGGATTTAACTCTGCCACGACGGACATCGAAGTGACTTTAATTTCACATTCTAATTCAACTATATTTAGGCGCGATTTATAAAATACTTGCACAATAAAGCAGATAGCATACCGTAATTAACGCGTTATAATTAACATACTACTTTTATAGTAACGTTAATTGTGTTGTTAATTTTTAGCAACACAACGTTTTTGTTGTTTGTTTGTTAAGTTAACGTTGACTGCGATTTAATAATATCAATAACGTGAGTTTTAAAATGCTGCATGAGCAAGTACGACTTTCTTACTTATGTATTTTTAAGAGAATTCCTTTTTTTTGTAATAATGTATCATTCAACAATTTTTGCGTTGTTTCTTCAGCATCAAATTATGACTATCGTTTATTTAAAAATAAGTAATGTACATACTCAAGTTATAGAGATTATTGTCAATGTCTTAAGGACTTTGGTGATACACGCCATAAAGACCCAATAGCTATTGGCTAGATAAACAGATGATATTTCACTGACCTGTTGGTTTAATGGTTAGCGGTCCTAACTGCTAAGCCAAAGGTCGTAAGTTCGACTTCCACTCATATCATTGTGTAATCCGTTACTTGAATCAAGTGTTTTTGTCATTTGTTACGTTATTCGTTATTAACATATCGTTGTTCTGCCATATCGTTGTTAACATTGATTAAACGGGTTTTTGGTATTCTATGTCGAAGATTACTAATTTATTAAAGTATTAATATATGAGTGCTACAATGTGTGTTATATTTTAAATATTAAATCGTGTTTTATACCTGTGAGATGCCTTAACTTTCATATCAACAATACATAATGTAAAATCTTTAGAATTTAACGTATGTTAATATTCCGTTAATGGTTTTAAAAGCTCAAGTTTTAAGAGATGTGTGTATTATTGAGGCTATACTCTTTTTATTATAATTAATTCTTCAGTTAAGTTTTCATAACCGTATTTTTAATATATTAATTAAGTGTAATAACAAAGTCGTATTAATATTTTTGTATTATTCTTGTGTTCAATGGATAAAATAATATATTTTATTCATTATTTGATGTGTAACATATTTTCTCTCGATTTCTTGCAATTTGTAGAAGTTATTCCCCGTGGAAAGGGACGGAAGTGTGTAACAGGAAGCAAGGCAAGCGCGCGATTTTTGATTTGAAAAATGAGTGCGCTCTTTTTGATTTGAAAAATGAGTGCGCTCTTTTTGATTTGACCAATAAGTGCGCTCTTTTTTATTTGACCAATGAGTGCGCTCTTTTTGGTTTGACCAATAAGTGCGCTCTTTTTTATTTGACCAATGAGTGCGCTCTTTTGGGTTTGACCAATAAGCGTGCACGGTGCTAGTGTTGGCCGTCATATAGCAGGTAAGATGTCAGATGTTACACATCATATGGAACTACTGTAAGCTCGCTCGTTTTTTTAAATAATTTATTAATATACTTATTCCATTTTTTTTACATATTTTTTATATTTCTGATTACATTGGGATTTTTTTTAAATATACTTTACGATGCCTTCTTACTTTCCAAAAAGTATCAGTCAATTATGGATGTTAATAGAGACAAATTAGGTATCAAAAATATTCTTGTGTGTGTACTCTTTGTGGCTTTATATTTAAATCGAACGTATTGCAAGGTGGCAATAGGTTTTCGGGATCATAAACACAAATATTTGTTCGTTTCTCTTAAATGTTCAGTATTAGTCTATCGTTGGTTAGATATTTAAAGGGATTGTGATGGTTATAGTCACTTTAATGTATAAGTTTTTTTTTCGCATATATACGAAACTCAGACCAACAATGCTTACGGATGTTCTGAAATTTCTTATTAACGTAAAATTTGTCTGCACGTACATTAAGATATAGACGGTAATTTAAAGGTCACAAAATTAAATAGAAAAACTGGTTATTTTTTAAATATCGGTTATTGTTTACCGTAGCATTTAAGTAAACACTATTCGTTTACCATTGTTTCTATCTTCGGCAGCATTTAAATAAATAGTTTTCACAAAGGAAACGTGCTCACCGAAAATGTATTATTTTTAAATAATGGATCCACAGAGTAAATAAAATGGAAAGAAATATTTTTTATCTGTTCTTAATTTAAGTAAGTGTAATCTTTGATGACATTTTTTTTTACTAGGTATATAAGCTGTATTATTAAAATGGCATCTGACGTTTTTACTTCCAACATTTCAATCATGATTTATTGAAAAGTATTTTTATGGCACAAGTACTTATTACATGAAATTCTATGTAATTCCCTTTAATGTTACACTGTTACTCAAAGTATTTTTGAAATTATATCTATAGAAATAAAATTGTTAACTATAATTAATTACTATCTTGTTTATTTTATATTCCCTTATCAATCATGGCTGAATTAAATGAAGAATATTATAAGTAAGTATACAACAACAACACCTTATAATAGTCCACTGCTGGACATAAAGCTCACCTTAGAAAGGAGGTTATTGCCTACTATATCACGCTGGCCAGACGGGTTGGTATAGGGTTTATATCAAGTTTTCCTTCTCTTTGCAGTGCTGTTGTCTTGCATAGTTTGCTTCCTTAGTCGGCTGTTACGACACCCACGGGATGAATAGGGGTGGTGACTCACACTGGTCACGACGTATTCTTAATGCGTTACCACATATACCCTTTTTAAAGGTGTGGATATCCACCCACCAGTTTCACGTACCCGGGCAAAGCGATAAGGTAGTTTGTAAGATTGAAACCGATTAAAAATCATACGGTGTTTTGTCATAGTGTGTGTCAGGTGTACCTTCAAAAGGAAAAACTTGTAAATCTTGAGTTACTTGGCCACCTCCTGGCCAGAGATTATTAACTTTCTCAGTCTGAGGAATTGTTTGCTCAAATTGTGCTTATAATACCAAGCGTTGAGCATTTGGCGGAGCGGTTGTGTGTCGTAAAAGACAGGTGTCAGTCGAGTCGTCGCTCTAGTAAGTATATCCTAATTTATTAATTTCTGAGGTATACGTAAAGAACTTTTATGTGATAAACGGCAGCAATATAGATTTAACAAAAAATAATTTGAAATAGGTCTTCCTGAGGTATAGTCGTGTGTATGTAGAATTATTATTTTCGGTAACGGATGAGACAAAAATCAAATAACCATGTGTTTTAATAAATATTTATAACCGTTAAAAGTAATTTAACATAATATTGAAAATAACGATATATAGCTCTAACGAGCGCATTTGAGACGCAACATTAAATATACTACAGCTTCAAGCGTTTGATTTCTTCCATCTTGAAATCGGTTCTGGAAGAAAAAAAAAAATGTTAATATTAGATTAGGTCGCACGTTAGCGAGACAGAGCTCCCGGGGAGGGCTTACCTGCGCGCCAGGATGTCCTTGGCGTGCGGCGCGGCCAGGCGCGGCGTGGGCAGCAGCGCGTCGCGCGCGTGCGCGGGCAGCTCCAGCGCGAGCAGCGCCGCCGCCTGCGTGAGGCGCGCGCAGCGCTCGCGCGCCGCCGGCACGCTGCCGCCCGCCCACCCCGCCAGCCGCCGCGCGCGACGCTCCACGCCCAGCCCGCCCTCCTGCACCCACACGCACACTCATTCAACACCGACTCGAAACTAACCCAGACAGATAAACTTAAAAACGTCGCATACTCTCTCCATTACTTACTACATTATTTGACACACAAATAAATCGTACCGACTGAATCATACATAATAGCTCAAATTCTTCTCGGTCCCAAATTAGCGCCCTGCGAGACACCTGATAGATCTTTATGACTGTTAAACTAACGAAGCCAAAACAGCAACACTTTCAGTATATAAAGCTTAAAATATAAAAGCAATAATTAAAGTGATACGTAGATCGCACCATGGGCCACGTAACTATAAAAATAACAATGATCATCCGGTTCAAAGCCTTAATTCCGGTTCAATAATATACAACAACATTGCCTGTAAGGATTTACTACGTATAACGATAACTAGATATGGTTTTTTTTTTAAACACAACTCCCGCATTAGGAACATACCTTGTGTCACGGAGGACAAACATAAATCAAACGGTCAATTAGAACACTCAGCCTCAGAACAACAATTTGTGGATCACACAACCTGTCGTCGGACCCACAACACTCAGCGTAATAGGAAGCGACGTGGCGACCGCTTAAACCACTACATCTCTTACCATACTAGGCCAGTTACATCAACCAATTTATGTATTTAATATAAATATTTAACTAAATACTAACTTTTTGTATTACTAGACTCAAACAACTCGCAAAATTAATCACAATCTTATATTTAATATAAAGTTTTTATTTTTTCGTCTTTACCATTGGCTAAGCTTTATGTTTGTTCGTCAATATTATTAAGTATACATACCCTGTCATATTTGTTATGTAGTATGGCGGCTTCAGCTCTAGTCGCTATCTCAGTGAGTGCAGCCAACAGCAGAGTGTCCACAGACCTCGCCGATATTTGTGCTCGTGCGGTTTCTGTGAACTGTTCCAGTGCCTGCGGGAGAGCGTCCGCGTCATCTTCCATTTCCTCTGAAATATCAACATTGTTGTTCAGATCGATATTATCTCGTAATTAAAAAAAATAAGAATAGATTACTTCAATGTGAAATACAAAATTTTTAAATATTTCAGTAAAATGATTTTTTTTTGTAGGCAATTACTTGAAATTCAAAATGGTTGACATCGTTCGACTGATTGATTTCGTTATCACTTTGAGTAACAAAACCTATGAAAATAAAATAAATGTTCATAATATAATTACAACTGATGTACTCGTAAGTATGTGGCCACGTTTTCGTGTGGCAATATGTTAATTAAAGTTGTACAGTACATCTTTTATTGACCTACATGTTTTGTGTATAAGTTTATTAATCATAAGAATTTATACACATTTTATGTATCGCACTTATTGTAAACACACATATTATTTAACCGACACAAAAAAGTTTAGTACTGGCACCGTACATTCTGTGGTCCTTCGAGCTGGATTGAGGCGACTTTTCGGCAACATCCAATGAGACTTACAAGTGTGTGATCTTAATAATAATCGGCAGCACCGGGGAGCCTAATCGGTGTAGGCCTTCGGTGGGTGCGCCGTACCTGTGTGCGGGTGCGGGTCGGCGAGGCGGTGCGCCCAGGCGACGAGGCGCGGCTGCACGGCCTGCGCCAGCGCGCCCAGCGCCAGGTCGTGCGCGGCGCGGAAGGCGGCGGCGGCGGAGGCCAGGCCGCCCGCGCACGACACCAGCTTGTCGCGCTCGGCCTGGCCGCGCGCCAGCCCGCCCGCCGCCGCGCACGCCTCCGTGGCCAGCCTCTCCGCCCACTCCGCGCCCGCCTCCGCCTCGTTCATGTGCGCCTGTACCGTACATAATTATTTTCGGACATCTGACACACAATGTCATTCAGTTTCTAGTTTAGATAAAGACTAGAGTGACTAATAGAATACCTTTATAATTTTCTTGTAAATACATACATATTAAAGTGCAACACACATTTTAAAAAGGAGGAGGGAGATTAATAAATAAAGATACAGTATATTACGTTCGTCTCGATTGATGTGCAAAAAATACTACCAATTATATTGTTTTAAAGCAAGAAATTGAGAAGAAACGGCCGGAATCGATCAATAGAAAAAGAGTAAACTCTCATCAAGATAACGCCAATCCAACCACATTTTGGCCACTCAGCAAAAATTACAAGAATATGACTCGCTAATTTCATATTATATTTTGTAGCAATAAATCCATCACGGGACAACACTACTTATCAAGGTAACATAATACACCTTAATATATTTTAAGGTGTGTCAATATAATATCTCTATTTCTGTTGTGCAAGAAAATGGTCCTCAGCATGGTCTTTCGAGCCGTAATCTATCTATAACAAGTCGCGTGAGATGGTATATAGAAGGTGTCTGTGACCAGGTAGAGCAGGCGCTGCGCGTCGAGGTCGCGGTTGAGGCTGCGCGCGAAGTCTCCGGCGGCGTCGGGCGGGGCGCCGGGGTCGCGGGGCGGCGCCAGCGCGAGGGGCTCGAGCGGCGGCGCGCGCAGCCAGCGCCGCAGCGCGCGCGCCGCGTGCTGCTCCAGCGCGCCGCACACGTCGTTGAGCACCGCGCACGCGCCGTCCACGCTGCCCGACGACACCGCGCGCCTGCACGCACACAACGCTCGAAGATAACACCGAAACAAAAAATCATTGTAACTGTTTTTTTTTTTAAATTAGTGTATCGTCATCGGTCCTCGATATGTCTACAAAGTTTGAACGAATTCTGACCGTTTAAAGTCAGTCAAAATCACGCCCAAAAGGAGTCGGTTACAAACATACGAACATACAAGTTAAGCTAATATAAAGCGTATAAAAATATATTTTTTAAAACGAGATTTTATAAACCCTGGATATCGCGTAGCACCAAAATATACAAAACGAATGATCCCAAACTTGATGGGTGAAAATATCAACGAATTGAAAATAAAATAGACTCACCTGATCACCTTCCTGGCTATGAAAAATACGTCGTCTACGAGACTGGAGGTGGTCACGCCGACCTGCGGTGTTGCCATTTTTAAAGCTTTGTTGACGCTCTCCTCCAGGAAATACCTTAAATTTGTATCGAAATTCCCCTATATAATAATCTACAGACAGTAATAGAAGCAATAACTAATCAAACTCGTCGTTTAATTTAACTTCATATCTTATAAAAAACAATCTTATATATAAAATTCTCGTGTCACAATGTTCGTTCCCGTACTCCTCCGAAACGGCTTGACCGATTCTCATGAAATTTTGTGTGCACATCGGGTAGGTCTGAGAATCGGCCAACATCTATTTTTCATACCCCTAAATGGTAAGGGTGACCCATCCCTAATTTTTTTTGTTTTGCAATACAACGTTTCCCGGGTCAGCTAGTTTCACAAATATTTTTTATAATTCTATCCATTTGCTTTTTTCACTAATCTCCAGAATAAGTCAACTTAATTATTGCACAAAACTTTAACTGACAGATAACTAATCTAATAGTATTTTTAATGTGTTATATCTTCCCTCTCTCTTTCTGATAATCTATGGAAGTGGTATTTGTACTAAAATTGAGTCTATTTAATAAAAACCTCTCCAATGTCAGATAATGTCCCAAAATATCTTGAGCTGTCCTCATCAAATCACAGTCGGCTATGATTTTCTCAACCTTTTCCATACAAAGTTTCTTCTCTGTTTCATTTACTTGATTTGCATCCACCTTTAATGAAAAAAATAAAACATTATAAATAATGTAAATGGTTCTGTATAATATTAAATCCTAAATAAAAACGATTTTACCTACTATACACACATATTTATACATTATACACACATTTCATTCATTCATAAACAACCTCTAACAGTCCACTGGTGGACATAGGCCTCTCCTTAGAAAGGAGGTTTTGGCCTACTATACCACGCTGGCCAGACGGGTTGGTAATTAACCTGTTATTGGTCGGTTTGTGTCAAGTTTTCCTTGTCTTTGCAGTTTTGTTGTACTGCATAGTTTACTCCCTTAGTCGGCTCTTACGACACCCACGGGATGAATGGGGTGGTGACAATCAGTATTCTTAATCCGTCACCACACGGACTTACCACACACATATTATACACTAGCTGAGACCCGCGGGGAAGCTAGTCTAAAAAAAGTAGCCTAAGTTACTCCTTATGTCATCAGCTATCTGCCAGTGAAAGTCCCGTCGAAATCGGTCCAGCCGTTCCAGAGATTACCCGGAACAAACAGACAGACAGACAAAAATTGAAAAAAATGTTATTTTGGCATATGTATTTATATTTGGCATAAACATCCATATGCATTTAGTAAAAAGCGGTTATTTTAATATTATAAACAGACACTCCAATTTTATTTATTTGTATAGATATAGATTATATACACATTAATAGTGTCAAAAACTGTTTAAGTTATATTGTCGTGGTAGGGCAACTTACCTCAGTTTTCCTCCTAAGGAACATAAAGTATAACCAAATCCTTGAATGGATAAGTGCCAGTTCCGTCAGCACAGGTTCTACACTGAGGGGTGACATGGCTGTGCGCTGAGGGTCCGATTCCAACCGTCTGGCCGCTACAAGCTCGTTATATACCCGACGGACTCCTGCGCATACCTGTTGGGAAATAAATAATTAGGTCTAACTATAACCATGTCTAATAATAATGTTACTGAATTATAATTAGAGATTTATTTATTATTAGTTCAAAATTACAATACTAAGTGCAGTTCAGATCTTAAAGTTGCCATTGAAATATTTTGGATATGTAGATCAGAATGACTTTTTGAAAATATTATGTATAAATTTTTAAAGTAAGCGAGACTTGAACCAACAACCACAATATATGGTGACCTTGCTAATGGACAAGGTAGATAGGCCATGCTATGTGGTAATGTCTCCCTAAATAGGGCTACAACTTTTCACTGTGGACTAGTAGTTTATCGTAATTCGTTGTGTTTCTCACTAGATGGCGCTGTAATACATTTTTGTCGTCAGTTCAAATTTATTGAAAATACTTACAGATGGTTGCAATATCCGTATAGTGGTAGTGAGCAAGCCGTAAGCTTGTGAAACTAAATGGGCGTTCCTGGCGCGTTCTATAGCAGCGCCGGCTGCCTCCACCACGCGAGTGATGGCGTCAGCAAACACACACGCCTCTGAACCCACGTCCGTTATTATGCAGGCGCGACGGATGGCAGCCTCAGTCTATGCAAATGATAATAAAGAAAAATCTTAGTTTAATTTCAGAACTAATAAATTCTATACCTCATTTGAATTTTTTTATTTTTTCTATGTTTTCTACAAATATACGAACTCAAGCCAACATTACATTACGTGGTCACGTCAGTTAAAAACTAAGCTTTGAATGTTTTTTTCCTTTGTTTTCTTGAGGTAGAAATTGCAGGCACTTTTTAGATTACATTTGCACTGCACACACTGTTGATAAACATACACAGAATAATATGTACTGCTAAATACACACACACACACACTTATACATATAGATAAATTACACGCAGCATAGATCAAATAAGCATGTTCACCATGCAATAGGAAGTAAAACATTTATTTGTCACTTTGAATTACATTCGTAAAAAATAACAATAACAAAAAATCTGAAAACAAAAATAGCCCCCAGATTATAATAATAATATTTATTTATTTAAACAACTAATTACAGTAGTTGCTTAGTTTTTTTACATTAGTTATATTGGTCTTAAAGGAAGGTACTGAACCCTGTCTCTTAAACTAGATGTGGCCTGTATCTTAAGAGGCAGTTTTCAACCAAGATTTTATTTACTTGACTGAGTCTTGTAGTAATACAGATGCTATATAATATTCTGTGTGTGGGTGTATGTGTGTGACTGTGTTAGTGTGAAAGTTATGTGATGTAGGTCAAAAGCAAATTTGATTTTTCATAGTCCTGTTTCAGTGTGTCACAGTGATTTTCAGTTGTGTCTTTATATAGCTTTTTATATATATATTTACCTATCACAAAAAATAAGTATCATCATCAGCCTATCGCAGTCCACTGCTGGACATAGGCCTCTCCCATTGCACGCCACTTAGATCGATTTTGGGCTTCTCGCATCCAGCTCCTGCCAGCCATCTTGCGCAAATCGTCACTCCACCTGGCCTGTGGGCGCCCTACACTACATTTGTACGCGGTCTCCACTCAAGAACTCGTTTTCCCCAACGGTTGTCGGTTCTGCGGCTAATATGGCCAGCCCACTGCCACTTCAGCTTGCTGATCCGGTTGGTAATAAGTATATTTATATATATTTGTATATTTTTATAATAAGTGAAATTGATGGTTTGCGAAAGTGGTTTTGTGTGGTATGAATGGAGTAATAGTTGAGCGTTTGTACTGAGTTGGTAAGGGTAGAAGAATATGAGTTCTGAGAGTAGACAATTTCAGCAAATAATTTGAATGGTAATCAAACTCCTGACCTCTGGGCCAACTGTTCAGATTACTAACTTACATGTCATTCTAAAATTATATGTTTGTCCATAATGTTATAATTTTAATACTAACTTGAGTGGTGAGATATTTGGCAAGTAACTCCACTCCTTCCTCTGCTCGTCCGATCTGTGGGAACAACCTGAACAGTCTATCCACACTGGGTTCATCCTCCTTGCGAGATGCTTCTTCAAACCTTTACAATTGTTATATGTCATTTATAGATAAATTCACATATTTACATAAAATATTATTTAGTTTTTATCAATTATAAAATAAAAATTCATACTTGCGTATCAAATGTTCTCGGAGTGTGTTAGCAGCGCGGGTCATCGCATCACGCGGATCGGGGGCTCCACGTGCTCGCGCAGCAGCTACTGACCCTGGGTCCATACCCAAGAAACGAGAAACGTGAGCAGCACCTGTAACATTGATAATGGTAAATACGCATTCACACATAAATACACGTATTCACAGCTACAATATGAGAGTTGTGACTGGGCTTTGAATTTAAACTGATGATGGTAGTATGAGCTGATGGTTTGACTATAACTATTTGAAGGTGTTATGGGTTGTTGTATTTATCATAATATCAGCCCCAACTTACCAATTTCATAATCATGTGCTTTGATAGCAGCTTCCACACCAGCGCTGCACAGTTGTAGATCTATTAAATCATGGACGCGTCGTTGACATTCTGCAACACGAGACTACCAAACAAAATCTTATTTTCATAAATGGTAAAGTTTAACAATATTTATATATGTAATGAATAAGCCATTACTTACCCTAGCTAGATCGAGTTGGCGAACTTTGGCGCTAACATCCCGTGCCAGGTTAGCTGTTCTATCTACCATGTCGGCTGCGACTTGAGCATCAGTCTTTACTTCAGTTAGCTTAGTATAAGCCTGACTTGCGGTGCGAAGACGACCTTCCAGCAAGCTGGCGCGGGATAACACCCCGGAGAGAGCTTCGTCAACCTCCGTCTAATTCACATCATCAATTTACAATATTATTGTTGACTTCGTCATCACAAAAAAAAAAAGTACTAACCTCTTCCTTTTCGATTTCATTAAGAGCTTTTTGTAGTCCTTCATCAGTTGAGACATCATATTTCTCCAAAAGAAGACTTAACGACATGCTTACCGTTTATAACTGTTTATTTTTATTTACTAACAATGTATATTCGGTGGCAAGTTTCTACGAATCGGTGGGAACGTCAACAATTCATCATCAACAAATACGTCAGTTTCGTTTTTCTGTCAGCTGCTGTCACGATCACTATCACCTGGCATCTGATAACTCTGATAAGACTTTCTGACACTTCATTAAATGAAAATTCTATTGCTAAGAGTGTTAGAAAATTGCTATTTTGATTTGTAAATCAGGCGTTTTCCTTATCTCTTTTAATATATTTCAAATTGGGATTGAGACACTTGTTTAAAAATAAGTCAAGCAACACTTTAGCGCAAAAAAATGAATTTAAGTGTGGCAACAAGAACTTGACATTACTAACATTCAAAACCTCTACCAAACACTGAACAAAAGTGGAATGAGAACTCCTTTTCAAACAAAACTTTTTATGAAAAAGAACTGTCGTCTCAGTTATCTAACTAGAAAAATGTGATACACATATTCTGTTTATTACTTGCATTTACACAAGACAAAATTTTGTACTTTTAAATAATAAGACCCTGAGTGTACGTTATCTGTTGCCTTATTAGATATTTTGATCAGACCTTCTAAAATTGACTAGTGGACAAAAGTACGATACCTATGCTAGAACATTAGTAAACATATAAAGTAGTGAAATCGTAAAATCGATGTGCCGTTAACTGTTTTCAATTCCTCAAGGAGATAATTGAGTATTAAACACTCCTTTGAGGATTAGTTTCTTTGTGGGGTTTAATAGTAATCGTCAAAGGTGAGTGGTGTGCTAGACTAAGGGCATACATTGCATAAATTAGTTAGTATTGGCAAACAGGATTTTTTTTGTGTGAAGTGGGCTTATTTCATGGTATCGCTGGATGGTGTATTCGGTTGGTTGCAGATTGACTCCGTGTGGGGTTGGGCTTCGCCCCCGCTGCGGTTGCAGCTGGGTAACTCACGAGGGCACAAGAGGTGAGTGAACTTTCTTGCTATCATTGAGCAATTTTGGCACCAATGCTTTTTCATCATACTTTAAAATTAAATAGATTCACTAAACACAGTTTTTACTTTGGGATTTTTATATCATTAGAAATATCAGGTAATTGTTTGGCCTCTGAATTGTTTTTTTGTTAAAGATATGGCACTAGTAACTTACTGATTGTTTACACAGCCTTGTAACATCAATTTACTTTTAGTTGTCTAAATCAAGAAGATGTGATTTTAAAGTGTGATAATTTATGTAACTTTTTAATTAATTGCTTGTGAGGTTTGGGAATTCTTTAATTTGGGAGTCATGCCAATTTTTTTTAAGAATATTTTGCTATTATATGTAAACATTCAACCTTGTTGAGAAAACATATTGGCGGGCTGAAAGATATGTTTTGAAAAGTTCATGTGAAGTTTATAGTACCTAGTTACTACTAACTCCTACATGTAAATCAGATTAGAGAACAATGGTTACGGTATTTGCTATCATTATGCTAGAATCAATATTCATTCAACAGCTGTTCTTTCAATTCTCTAATGCCAATGAACACTAATTTAGGTCACGTTCCATAAATTATTTTAATATATAATATGTATCTAAATATATTCAAATAATCTAAGTTCTTTACACCTGAACCTGTTCTACAAGCCAAAATTTAAAACAGCATTTTGATTGTTATTATTATTTTTTATTAAATTAAGTATATGACACAAAAGCATTTTAACTACCAAAAAAAATTGAAAGTGAAGTGCCAATGCCTCATAAGAAACATAAAAAAAAAATTTTTGTTTGTTAAATTTAAAGACTAATTTTGTGAAATCTTTTTAGGACTATTTTTAATTGGATCATCATTAATCATCAGTATGAGTGTTGAAATGAATCTCAAATAATGACATTTTTCTCATAGCACTATTTTAGACTCCATTTCCTTAGCAAAATAATCAAAACAAAAGCTTTAAATTTTTTTTCAATCTTGCTTTTTGATCTCTTAAAAAAGTTTTTTAAAATCTAATTTTCCATTTCATCAACATCAATATACTTGATAAAGTATCTTTTATTGTGACAGACCACACACACACACACACACACCAATCACCACTATCACCAATTTTGTGAACCAACTTTGTGGCATGTTTCAAACTCTTTACGACACAGGGTTATATACTCAGTGGTTTTGGTAGTAGCAATTTTTTTACTCATGATTGATTATAATTGGTATGACGCTTAATTTCATCCCAATTTCATTAAATTATTGATAAAATAGGCTTTAAAAGTTCACCAATTCACTTTAAAAGTTTTAAATCAAAGATTTTTTTAAAGAATTTAATCACATTCAATTTTGTCCACAACACACTTCCAGAATAAATTGGACTTCATCTGATGTGTGAGGCTCTTAATTACACTTGCAAATTATACCTCAAGAAAATTAGGCTGCAACATCGGCGGTCGTGGGTTTTAGTTTCTGTTTAGTGCTAATATTTGTGTGCATGAATGTGATAATTAACATTGGCGTCTATGATTTTATTTATTACCTTTTATACCTACAAAAACATCTAATATATAAAATTCTCGTGTCACAGTGTGTCATGGTTGAACTCCTCCGAAACGGCTCTACCGATTTTCGTGAAATTTTGTGTGCATATCAGGTAGGCCTGAGAATCGGCCAACATCTATTTTTCATAACCCTATTTTCCTTTTTATTTTTGACAAATGTATATGGCAAAACAACGTTTGCCGGGTCAGCTAGTATTCTATAACATATTTTAGGATTCATAAATGTTTAGAGCTGTGTATTTATAAGGCTTTCACTGCTTATTACTAATGTATAATGATGAGTAATATTCAGTCAAAACAAGACTTTCTTCTCGAACCTCGTTTAAAAAGTAAAATTATAACAATCAAAATTAAAACGTACACAAACTAAAAGCTTTATATAATTATAATTGCTCACTCGGTGCATTACATCACCTTTACCGTGAGCTACTGACATTACACAAGGTGATTGTGTAAATATGTGAATGAGTTCCAATTGTTTCCTACTTCAATAGCTGTTGTATACCGATTGATTACCAGGGAATAATTTTGTATTCTTCTTGATGGCCTATTTTGAGTGGCCGTTGAGATTCTAACTGTATCTTTAAACGTTGCTGTTACGTACAATAACCAAAACAATATGTGATATACATACAGTCATACCTGAACCCCAAAAGAACGACTGCACGGATGGCGTAGTGGCGTAGTGTTTGTCCCCTGCCCCCCCCCCCTCCCCCCCTCGCGACACAGGATATATTCCTAATGCAGGAGGTGTCTTTTTTTAAAACGAAAAGATGTTGTCTATGCATGTAAAACTCACGTTTTACTAACTATAATTGCGTATCACTGAATTATTGACTAAGAGCGTTTTCGCACTATGTCTGATTAGAATCCAATCCGAATCCTTGAAATACAGTCCGAAGTAGACGTAGAACTATTTCTATGCTAGCTTACGCACTAGATCCGATTTCCTTCATCCGATTTCTTTCCGTTATCCGTGAATCTCCATTCTTGACGGACCAAAGTAGTCATACCATTATTTGTATGAACGCACCCAGAATATTGCAGAATATTGCAATAATATTGCCAGAAACTAAAAGGACATGATCAACTTCGTCAACGCTCCGCGTAAAATGTAGTATGCTAAAAGATGACCCCTGAATTGTTTGGATTAGAATCAGTGATCATAATAGTTCAGGTCAGGGGCATCATAATCATCAACAGCCTTTAATAGTCGACCGCTGGTCATAGATCACTTCTTAGAAAGGCCTACTATATCACGCTGGCCAGATTGGTTGGTATAGGGTTTGTGTCAAGTTTCTTCTTCTTGGCAGTGCTGTTGTTCTGCTTGGTTTGCTCCCTTAGTCGACTCTTACGAGATCCACGGTATGAATAGGAGTGGTGACACTCCGTATTCTTAACCTGTCACTGTCACACGGATATAGGTCAGGTCTGGTGTTTGTGGTGTGGTGGGGCATCATTTGATAAATTTGAATATGATTCAGTTGGCATTGACATTTTGGACATTGTTCTACCACTTCATACAAGCATAGTAAAATCGCGATTAAAAAAGGGTGGGACCTCGGTAGGGTACCAAATAAATGTGAAAAAAAAACATTGAAATCGGTCGACCCGTTTCGGAGGAGTGCGATGACAAACACCGTGACACGAGATCTGTAGAATTTGATGTTATTGTCAGTACTGTACACATTTTTCCACACACTGTATGTACTGGACTCTTTACTATTCTAAATTTTGAAATTATGATCAATTAGCAAATATAATAATTGCTATAGCGGAAGATTAATCATACTTATGCAAGCTCGGGCGAAATGAGATACAGCCAGTGTTTATTTTAGTATGTAAAAAGAGAACTATTAGAGAAAAAAACTTAAGTTTGACTACAGCGATGTCACAGTGGTTTACGTTGTCGTCTCGCTACTACGCTTACGTTGTAAGTTCGATCCCTACATGAGTTAACACTTTTAACAAGTAATCTGCAAATAATTATTCTGAGCCTACCAATAATAGTTTTTTGAGAAATTATTATTCGTAGTTCTGATCGTTCTTTCTGGCATTATTTGAATATTTACAAGTCCGACCCAGGAAGTTTACGAGACATCTTGTCTCTCGTTTCGTTTGTATAAAAAAATCAAGTAAAGAAAATAAAAGTTGATTATTTTATTAATATTTTTTCAAAGGCGTTTTAAAGAGTTAATACAACATGCAAATGCAATCTCAACACAATACAGTCAATGATTCTCACGCGTCAGACTCAACGAATGGCGAAGTGGTTTAAGCAGTCATCATCATCGTCATGTGTGTTCCACAAATTGTTGTTCTGAGTCTGGGTGTTCTTTGTGTCCGTTTCATTTATGTTTATAAAGTCCCCCGCCACACAGCATATATTCCTAGTGCGGGAGTTGTCTTTTCCTAAGAAAAAAGAGAGTATAACCAATCTCCCAATAACTCATAAGCAATCAATCTTCCTAACGCCCATGCTACAGGTTCTGCAAATGTGAGTTCTCTGGAAAATGTAGGTTGGGATCTAATATATAGGTATACCTAAATAAAGAAAATTATAACAATAACTAAAACCTGTTCTATGTCCATATTCACTTCATCCCCCTCTATTTGAGGTTTAGAAATAGGGTTGCCAAGACCATATGTAGTTCATGATTTGGCGGACGTGAATAGTTGCGCATCTGGGTCACGGACGGCAGTCTCAATGAATACAAATGTTACATAAATTTTATGATAACTGTGTTGAATTGTGACGTTTTACCCTAATTTACTTAATAATGAATACAATTTTTTTGCCAGTGAATGTAGATGTCAGTCTATGCAACATTACCCTCAAAATGTTGCAAAAAAGTGGCTTTTTTATTTGTTTTACGTCAATGAACCGTGATAACTTAGTACCACGCAAGTACTAATGGAGAACTGCTGCGGAATCAAACCAATCCAAGTCACTATGTTTTCTATCATGGAAATCCTCTGCAATGAGTCTTAATCATTCTTTATCTATTAAAACATTAATAATTTGACCACTTTGTGGGTTAAATCGTTTCTGCACAACACGGATTATTCCATGGTGAGCATTAGTATACGACAGAAACAGAAGTTTTATTGTTTTAGGAATATAATAATAATAATAATATTCTACCACATTCACACAACACCATCTAGTCCCAAACTAAGCAAAGCTTGTATTATGGCTACTAGAAAGCTGATATAAATACATGTATACGTTTTTTTTTTAAATAATAATAATAATAACCTTACACATTTCACACACGGCCGTCTGATCCCAAACTAGGCAGAGCCTGTGGTATGGTAACCAGACTGCTGATAAACATACTTATATATTTTTTAAATACATACATATTATATATAAATTACACCCAGACACAGAACAAATGACCGTGCTCATCACACAATATTTGTCCTGGGTGGGAATCGAACCCACGACCTCCGGCTTAGCAGTATGGGCACTAAACACTAGACCAACAGGCCCGTCAAATACATACTTATTATACATAGAAACACCCAGACCAAATCAAACATTAAATGTTCATGCACACAAATGTTTGACTTCAGCGGGTATCGAACCCGCGACCTTTCGAATAGCAGTCCGTTACACAAACCACTACACCATCCGGTCGTCAAATAAAAATCACTTAAGTCTTATAAGTTTTTTAATTTGCATTTTCATTCTTGAAGTCTAACGGTTAGAGACCCTGACTGCTATGCCAGAGATCGAGGGTGCAATTCCCATCCAGAAAAAATCATTGGATCATTGGTTCGGTGTCGATGTCACCAAACTTCGTTTTCTCGTCTTCATTAGATTATATAAGAATTATACGTCCGTGTGGCGACGGATTAAGAATACAGAGTGTCACCATCCCTATTCATCCCGTGGGTGTCGTAAGAGCCGACTAAGGGAGAAAAATACGTAGGACAAAAGCACTGCAGAGAGAAGGAAAACTTGACACAAACCCTATATAACCCGTCTGGCCAGCGTGGTGTAGTAGGCCAAAACCTCCTTTCTAAGGAGAGGCCTATGTCCAGCAGTGGACTAGTAAAGGCTGTTGATGATGATACTTAAACACATTAACTTATTTATTTAATGGGTTTTAATTTACAAACGCGTTATCGTACTCTAAAATAATTGCTAATGGTATAAACGATCACCGGACAGTCGACGAATTTCGATTTATTGTATTTAATCGACCAGTATAAGTTGAACTATCATTGTAGACTTTTGTACTATAACAAGTTAAAATATTTATACGTAATTTTTAGCTTTGTAACACAAATTGTTAAAAATATTTCTATTTGCACTTCTTCTTCTTCTTCCAAATTTCGTAACCCTAAAACAATTATCTTCACTGATTAATATACTACATTTTGCCAACGGTTTCGCCTGCGTGTATGTCGGTTATCGCGGTAAAAGGTAGCCTACGTTACTCGCTGATAATCTAGCTTTCCATTGGTGAAAGAATTTTTAAAATCGATTTAGTGTTTTAGGCGTGAAAGCGCAACAAACAAATAAAGAAACTCACTTTCACATCTATATAAATAAATAAAATTGAAGTGTCTGTTTGTTATGTAAAAATAATAGGTTTTTTTCATGCTCACACGGTTATTTGCATGATAACTATGCCTAAAAACCAGTTGTTTTTTTATCTGTCTGTCTGTTTGTTCCGGATAATCTTCGAAACGGTTGGACCGATTTCCATTATATTTTACTACCAGGTAGTTGTCTATATAAGGAGTGAGGCTATTTTTATAACTTAGGCAATATTTTTTTAATATTATAACTTAGGCTATTTTTACTCTCAGAAAAACCCTTTTTTTTTTTGTCCGGTCCGGGAATCGAACCCACTAAGGCAGCGCTCTTCAAATTCCACGCAAACAAGTCGCGGGTACTAGCTTGTTTATAAGTATGGGTACATAACTTATAATAACAGAAGAAAGGGAGAGCCATGCTTCGGTACAAATAGGCCGGATTGACCGGAGTAATACCACGGCCTAACAGACCGGTGTTAAGCAGTTCTCTCGTTGCTTTTCACCGTATGACTGAGGTAACCGTAGTCCAAGACCTTTCTCCCATTAATTATGGATGGAGGACTCAAAAGGTTGCAACGCACTTAGGACTCTTAAGTTGCACGAGCCCATGTAGAGTTACTTACCATCAGGTGACTCGTCCTATAACATAATAAAATCTAGAACCCAGAGTCTGACCAGATATTTGCCGTGTGTGCATGCCAAACAGAAGTTAGATACAGGTTTTTTTGATGGGCCGTTCTGTGATTTTCAGATTTACAATATTAGTACAGAAATTTTTAAACACATTTATATTTTATCCTTTACTGGCTTACGCCCACGGTTTCGCTTCGCTATTTTCTTATTCCAGACTATGATCTATCACAGTGCCAAATTTCATCCAGATCTTTACAGCCGTTTTGGCGTGACTTAGTAACAAACACCTATTCATCTAATAGTAGCAAGATTTTGAAGTACTTATTAATTCGTGTATCACTTTTTTTATCCTATCACGCGATAATATTTTATTCAAAAGAAAGAAATATATATATGTATATTTAAATATTATTTGAACAATACTTTAAAAATTGATTCAATCACTATCTTCTATCCGATCTCTCTAAATGACACTCACCATCTAACTTGATACGTAATCGATCTGTCAGATAATTTTCTCCAGATCCTGAGATATCATCTAGAAATTAATGTGGTTTCTATGAAATATGTTGCAGGGTGATCTCAGCTAGCGATGGCACTCCCCACCAGTTCCCTTGGGTGTCGTAAGAGTCGTTTAAGGTATTTCTCTTACTACATTTTTCTCCGCCGTAACTACAGTATCTGGGCCGTTACCTACTTAAACGGTATGCCATGTAGATAAAAATACCTTAACTACATTTAGATAACAGTTTGATAGATTTCATTGTATAGTAATTCGTACTTATTTAGAATTAGACATTCACAGCACAAATTTCTCTATTATTAAATCATATTTGAGAAGGCCTACGCCAATAAATCAATCAAAATCATTTGCTCCAATAAAATCAATTGAAGATATTTGTAAACTGTTGTGCAGTCAATCAAAATACTTTAAAAGGGGAGCTATTTGGCTGTTACAATACGTAGGTTTTAAGGAGATGAACAGTCTAGAAACTCCAAGAAAACTTTTTTCTACGTTTTTTACAAGTTTCTTGTTAAGATACTGATAAAGTCAATAGTCTACCATTATATAAACAACAGACGCTCAAAATTACCTTTATTTTTGAGTAATAGTAATCCTGAGATGACCCCCCACGATAATTGACATTGGCGTTAGATCACTAACATGACCCACGCGCCATTCATGATCCAACCTAACCTTATTGAAAGAAGCCAAACAACCGGACAAATAGTCGCCATCGGGCATGACATACTCAGAACTTCCAGGCAACATACGCATTCGAAAAGGGATAGAAATAGACATGTGGAACTGCATTATCAGTTATAAAATAATCTCTTTTTGTTTTTCAAATACGGTTTCAATTAATATACATACATCGATGATCTTCTGATCTTCAGCCAGCTTATTCTTGACATAGCCTCATGACTCCTTTCTTTTATACATTAGCTGCACTATATCTTTGATCCGTTACATAGGGTATATCTCCGAAATACGCCAGGGGTACCGCGATTTTCGATTGAGGAAGGGAATTGAAAGTGCAGTAGCGCTTAGAGGCCGGTGTCTCGTATCTGGATGTTACTTCCTTGGATTGGATGTTAATCTAGGTCAGGGACATCAACCTGCCAAAAGCCAGATGCCTCAATAGAATTAAATAGATTATTCAACTTGTGAATTGATTCTCTTTATAGTATACGGAATTCCAAAGAATCTTACATCTACATATAAGACTTGTAAAAACCCATTAAGAAAAAAAGGAAATTATTAGGTTAACTGCATCTCAAGTAATCGTACAATATCGTACTAGACTCATTTACCTACTTGTAATACGTTGTAAACCTATGTATATGTACAGCTGCATGACCGAGTCATTATCATGTCACGTTTAGAGAATGTAGTCGACCTGTGTTCTTCCTAATACTATGTTGCACCAACTCCAGGAGTATATAACATATCTATATACTAATATACTGTATACTTATACTAATACCCTGAAGCCGAAGAGTTACTTTGTTTGTTTAAACGAGCTTCTGTGGAACTAGACAGTTATAAGAATATTTATTGAAGACTAGACTAGACTGGTACCTGTAACTTCATTTGGGTGGAATTTGAAAAGCGCTGCCTTAGTGGTGGAGTACTGCACGCGACTGCAGTCCATGAGGCCTTGGGTTCGATGCCCGGGTTTTTCTGAGGGGAAAAATAGCCTAAGTTACTCCTTATATAGACAGATACCTGGTAGAAAAATATTATCGAAATCGGTCCCGTCGTTTTCAAGATTACTCGAACCAACAGATAGACAGACAAAAAATATTTAAACTGGTTTTAAGGCATAGGTATGAGGTATCGTGTAAATAACCTTGTGAGCATGAAAAAAAAACTATTATTTTGACATTACTGTTTTTATTGTACTGACACTTCTATTTTATTTATATGTATAAATTATTATCTTCTTTATCTTCTATAAAAATTGACTGATTCGTCAATGCAGAGCCTGAACCGTTGGGGTTACAAACTTGAAATTTTTGCAGCTGATGCTTTCTATGTTGTAAGGCCCCACTAAGAAAGGATTTTTGGAAATTTCACCCTTAAGGGATTTTTTTTTGGAAATTTCACCCCTAAGGGAACGGTTGTGTGGAAGTTCGTCATTTTTAAAGTTATAAAAACGAAATATGTAATAACGCCACATTATTTACTTTCAAGTGTTAGATTTTATAATTTGCAAATATGAACGAAACTACCCGATAAAGATAATTACACCGTTAATATCCTTAATGTCCTCACCGGATCGTTCATAAATATACGGTCGGTATGTTTTGTCCCAGGATGGGCGAGGGAGGATCGCCGGGCGGCGGGGGCGGCGGCGGCGGCGCGGGCGGCGGGGCGCGGCTGTCGCACACGTCGGAGAAGCACCCGCGCGCCATCCTCGGCGAACTGTCCGCGCTGCGCCGCCACCGCGAGCTGTGCGACGTCGTGCTCAATGTCGCCAACAGAAAACTCTTTGCTCACAGGTATAAATATTAATATATTATCCATCCGTGTGGTAACGGATTTAGAATACAGAGTGGCACCACCCCTATTCATCCCGTGGGTGTCGTAAGAGCCGACTAAGAGGAAAAAACTACGCAGAACAACAGCACTGCAGAGAGAAGGAAAACTTGACACAAACCCTATACCGACCCGTCTGGCCAGCGTGGTATAGTAGACCAAAACCTCCTTTCTAAGGAGAAGCCCATGTCCAGCAGTGGACTATTAAAGGCTTTCGATGTGATGTGAATTCTGCCAAAACAATTCATTGTTTTATTATGTACTTCAGACACCTCACATATGGCCCTCTTATTCAAAACTAAACAGTGCCTGTGTTATGGTAACCAGAATCTTGATCAGTATATATCTATTATCAGTATATGTATTATAAACATACTTATATATTACTAAATACATAGCACAGAGACACGAACAGAACAAATTATCATTGTGCTCATCACAGATTTAATCGTCTACCGTCTACTAGTGTCTAGTGCTAGTTTGGGATCAGACGGTCGTGTGTGAAATATTATATTAAATAATAATAAAAAAGCAACCGAATTGAGAGCGTTGAACTTTCATTGAAGTCGATTAAAATTCATATAAAATACAAAAACACAGCAACACGACAAACACTATTTTTCTGTACCAATGTAGGTCACCAGCGGTTAATGTATTCTCAGCGTCGCGAAGGGACCGACCACCGTTGTGTAAACTTAAATCACCTAACTAAAGCGTCGATCTATTTATAATCTGCATCAGGAATTCCCAAACTATTTTGGGCAAGAGACCCCCTTTTCTAAAATGAACTGATATTTCAGACCCCTATAGCCAAATTACTGCATGCTTATCGACTTGTTGAGTTTTTAAAAGTACAACAATGATACTTCCTACTAAAATATTAGTAATTTTTATAACAAGTTTATACACGTAACACAACTAATACAGTATCTTGAAAGTTTCAAATAAGAACTTGTGGTAATTAATAGAGGTTTATTTTTACACCGCGTCGACCCCTTGGAAACCAATGTCGACCCCAAGGGGTCGAAATCGACCACTTTGGGAATCCCTGATCTTCATAATAAACAATAGATTTTGTGTTTTGATAATTGTGACGGAAATGTTTCAACGTGTTGAATGTTTTATTATTCTTAATCAACATACCGCATAAATATACCCGTACCTATTGTGGCGACTTCCACGTACGGTGAAACAAAGACACATACTACAGCGCCATCTATCGAAGATACACCGAACTGCAGAGTAACTGCGAAACCTGTGTCGCGATATTAACAATTGTCTCGCCGATTAGCATATATACAAGTTCTCAACATCAACCATTGGGACGCAGCCAGCTAGGCATGACCACCTCGCCTGGTTTGAGGACCCTCCCTTTTTGTTGGAGGGACATGACACCCGTTCCTCCACACTTGTCAAACGGTATTGTACATCGTCGTCAAGCGTCATCCTTTAGCACATATGGGCCAGGGCCACCACGGCCTCACAGTATACCAATATTAGGCTATTCTTTTGTTGATTTTCACCGAGTGTGTGAGATTACCGGAGGCCAAACCTCCTCTCCCCTTGATTCTAGGTGGAGGGACTCAATGGGCCCCAACGCACTTGTGATTATTGAGTTGAGGTGTTCATGGACAGTGGTAGTCACTTACCATCAGTTGACCTGTCTGCTTGTTTGTTCCTTTATACCATAAAAAAGAGAGACTGGCTAAGTAGAGCCGTGGAGGGTACTAAGATGTGATTGTAAAAACTTTACATCCAAACATGACTGCACGGATGGCGTAGGGGTTTTAGCGCGTTACTGCGCTGAGTTTTGTGGGTTCGATCCCCACATGGGAGAACGCTTTGTGTGATTCACAAATTGTTGTTCTGAGTCTGGGTGGTCTTTGTGTTCGTTTCGTAAAATGTTTGTAAAGTACACAGGTGTATTCTTAATGCCAGAGTTGTAAAAACAAGAAGAGAAATCATGAAACTAGCATTGTCGGAGAGTTACTCGACTCTCTGCAAAAGCGAATCGGTCGTTAATAGCTTCAAGGTTTAGTAAATGATAGCAAAGATGGTAAATTGGTCTATTTTTTTTAAATTAGACTTTTTTGCTTTGTTAAATTATTTGTTAAACTTTGTTTGCTATTCTTAGGGTTCCGTACCTCAAAAGTAAAAAACGGAAGCCAGGAACACTTTGTTGTCCGTCTGTCTGACCGTTTATCTCGGGAATGCGTGGAGGTATCTAATTGTAATTAAAACTATAGCTGTAAAATAATCAAACCTGTAGCTGTAAAATAAAAAAAATGCAATATTTTGACACAATCAAGGGAATTAAAATTGAGTTGGCGGCCCTTTCAACCCTCTCCCCCCCAGGATCAGAAAGCGACTCAAAGATAAGATATTGAACTAGTTAAGCAATAGTTAGTAGTAAATAAATAGTTTACAAATCCAATACTGTGCGATCCAATCCATTACTAGCCAGTAAAAGAATATAATGTTGTTTCCAGAGTTATATTATCAGCATGCAGTCCATACTTCCGCGCGATGTTCACGGGCGAGCTGGCGGAGTCGCGCGCCACCGAGGTGACCATCCGCGACGTGGACGAGCAAGCCATGGAGCAGCTCGTGGAGTTCTGCTACACAGCCCACATCGTGGTCGAGGAGAGCAACGTTCAGGTACCCATACAGTTTTACTTAGTATAGCCTAGAATTAAATCCATTTCGTCCATTATTATAAGATAATGTTAGATCCTCTAAAATTGGAATTGAGACTAAAATTTTAGTCCCGCACTAGGAATATATGCTGACTGACTGAGGGACTTCACAAACATCAATCGGACGGACACAATGAACACCCAGACTCAGAACGACAATTTTTGGATCACACAAAGTGTTTTCCCATGTGGGGATTGAACCACTACATCATCCAGGCTGTGACGTAAAATAAGAAATACAGCAGTCTTGTATTCACATTCGATTGAGTATTACTTCCAATGAATACATAGTTTTATAGTTCCTCTCTATCTATCTTACATCCACTTAAATCTTCTTAACTCATATTCCAAATAAATTACTAAATTCAAGTGGGTTTCGAGGATAAGCGACTAGTTTTTGGGTCCATCTGGTGCCCTTTATCAAGTCTTGAAGCGACATGATGGCATCTGTTGGCAAACTTCACTCCTGAATACGTTTACAGCAAAGTTCATAGGGTATCTTCTATCCAGCAGAAAAAGTTTGAAAGAGATTAAAAAATGACATTTAAACCGCATAAAAGTCGATAGCAAAATCTAATTCTTACTACTTAATACACAAAATATTTGAAGAGGTAGTCATATTGCATAACATAAACGGTATTTAGTTGACGTGTGTTGTCGCAGGCGCTTCTCCCGGCGGCGTGCCTGCTGCAGCTGCAGGAGATCCAGGACGTGTGCTGCGAGTTCCTCAAGCGCCAGCTGGACTGCTCCAACTGCCTCGGTATCCGCGCCTTCGCCGACACACACTCTTGCCGCGAGCTGCTGCGCATCGCTGACAAATTCACACAACAGAACTTTCCTGAGGTATTTGACCGTTCAGTACTGACCTTTTTTTTTACGTGTGGAAACCCCTTCGGGCAGGCCGTCATCCCACCGTGGTTTACGGCGGGGTGGTGTGTCGGACTCGGATCGACTAAAACCACACGGTGTGCCACTCTGCGCCTGTAACAGGAGGGATCCGGGAACAGCTGTTATTAAGACGTCCGGACCCCTCCTAGCGCCAGCCCGCAATTGTGCGGGCACCACCTTCGGGTACTTCAGTACTTGAGTACTGACCTACCTCAATGTTTATCGTCATTCATTAAAATATTACCTCGTAAAAGGTAAAAAATAATAATAATTAAGAAATTCTGGAGATTATACATTTAATTTTGAGTTATTATACTGTTGTGAAGGATGATTTTTCTTAAATATACGAAATTCATAACATTTGATACTGTACAAGGAAAATAAGAACTATATAATTTATTTGTCAGACTTTATTATACACAAAGACAATGGAAGAGCACATTAAGTATAATAAAGATTTTACAAAAACAATGTTGCCATGTAGAAAAATAAAACAATAAGTTTATCAGAAATTAACTGTACAGTCGGTATTAATTCCATAATAACTAGTCCACATGTACGTATTATTAGTATGGAGGTCACTGCGTGAGGTCCCGTTATTTATGTGTAGTTCGCATTCAGTCAACCTTTAACACTTTGTAATGACTATCAGTTTACTAATAATTCAACAATGTTGTTTAACTGTATATAGGTATATACGTATTTAGAAGTAGGTAGGGAATAGGTATATACCTATAGTTACTTTCCAATAAGGGGACAAGTTAAAATAGAGTGTTTTTGCCTATATTATTTACAGAAACAGACAGACAAATCATAAAAATACATTACATCTGAATGGCAAAACAGTTGAGTAGAGAAAAATCTAGGAACCAATTTTTTTTTTATTGTTTATGCACAAATTACAACTCACTTGTGCAATGGCCGATGGGATATAATGGCACATGGGAAATGTCTGAGTAGGTGCACTAGAAATTAAGTTTTGTTTAAAAAAGATCATAATTATACTTAATTGAGGAGGTGAACATAAACAGAAGGACAGATATATATAAATACATACTAAAATACACACACAATTGCTGAGTTACATACATACATGTAATATACACAAACAATATATAAAAACTAGCTGACCCGGCAAACGTTGTGTTACAAAACAACAAAAAATTAGGGATGGGTCACCCTTACCATTTAGGGGTATGAAAAATAGATGTTGACCGATTCTCAGACGTACCCGATGTGCACACAAAATTTCATGAGAATCGGTCAAGCCGTTTCGGAGGAACGAACATTGTGACACGAGAATTTTATATATAAGATATCTCCTACATTTTTTAAGAAGCTCAATAACATTGTGCATACACACGTCAAATAATTTCATTGGTCAGGTTTAGATTTGTGTATATTGTACATGTAAGTAAATAATTCGTTTATTTACTCATACATTTGCAAATTATAATTGTTTCAAAACCCATCCGAGTTATTAGTTTCAATTTCTCAATCAATAGTTCATTAAAGATTACCTCGGTGAGACAGTGATAGCGTATGCGACTGCTGTGCTGAGGTCATGGGTTTGATTCCCGGGTCGGACCAAATTGTATTATCTTCAAATATTTCTTTAGGTTTTGGCCTACTTTTGGCTTTCCAGACGGGTTGGTATAGGGTTTGTTTCAGGTTTTACTTCTTTCTGCAGTGCTGTTGTCCTGCGTAGTTTTTTCCCTTAGTCAGCTCTTACGACCCTCCGAGATGAATAGGTGTGGTAACACTCTGTATTCTTAATCCGTCACCACACGGACTAAAAGAACATACTCATATATATTTTTAAACATACATATTACTCTAATATAACATATTGTCTCAATTGCAGGTAATGGAAAGCGAAGAGTTCCTCCTACTGCCAGCCGCCCAGCTCATAGACATAGTGTCCTCAGACGAATTGAACGTTCGATCCGAGGAGCAAACCTTCCAGGCCGTCATGTCCTGGGTCAAATATAATGTGGCCGAACGACGGCAGCATCTGGCACAGGTTTGACACCACTCTCCTTTGTTTTTTTTTCCGTGCGGAAATCCCCTCGGATACCACCTGTCGGTGGCATGTCGGACTCGAACCGACTAAAACCGCACGCCGTCTCGGGTACTAATAGCCGGGGAACCAGGTTACCCTAGAAAGGAAGTCCCTGGTGCCCCGACATAGACACCACTCTCCTAACTCTTAAATTATGCTTTAAATCAGGGATTCCCGAAGGGGTCGGTATCGACCTTTCGATTTCCTATTGGTGGACATAAACGAATACTGATTTTGGGGGTCGACGAGGTCTAACTACCGACCCCTATATAAATAACACAAGTTCTTATTTGAAACTGCCAAGAGACTGTATTAGTTGTGTTCCATGTATCAAACTTATTATAAAAATGACTAATATTTAAATAGGAAGTATCATTGTAATACTTTTAAAAACTCGTTAAGTCGACAAGCATGCAGTAATTGAGCTATGGGGGTCTGAGATATCGGTTCATTTTAGAAAAGGGGGTCTCTTGCCCAAAATAGTTTGAAAATCCCTGCTTTAAATCATAACTAATTTAAATGTGAATGTGTGTTTGTTTTCGTCGCCCATGGACACCTGCAACTTAAGAGATAAAAATGCGTTTATACTCTTTGTGTGCCTCCCCTCCAGGATAGGATGGGGGCGAGGTTGGGAGGGGGGGGGGGGAAAGAGGGTGTCTGATCTCCGCTGGACTCACTCACTGGGTGAAAATCGTCGTATCATCTGGGTGGGTCGTAGTATCAGTCTGGTTGAGCCGTTCATTACTAGAAGAAGTATAATAGTTCTCCCATTTAAATTTTTCATGGAGATACTTTGTTTCTTGAAGAAGGACAAAGACTAGTATTGACCGCGATAATCGATATATACGCGGGCGGCGCCACGGTCAAAAGCTAGGAAATAAATATTTAGACTGCAGTTCTGTATTTTTAGAACACAATTTTACAAAAAAGGCGTCTAAATGTGTATTTCAGAAACCACAGTGAAAGCTTTGTTTAGTTTGGATCTAAACAGTGTAGTGATACAATGTCCTTGACCTTGTTAGGTGTTGCAACACGTGCGGCTGCCGCTGCTGAGCCCCAAGTTCCTAGTGGGCACGGTGTCCTCGGAGCTGCTGATCCGCTCGGACGACGCGTGCCGCGACCTGCTGGACGAGGCCAAGAACTACCTGCTGCTGCCACAGGAGCGACCGCTCATGCAGGGACCGCGCACCAGGCCCAGGAAACCCACCAGGAGAGGTACCACACTAAACATTCCTTGGCAATTATTATTAAGGAAAATATTATTGAAATGACTGGTTATCAAATAGTGGATGTTCGACCATAGTCATTTTTAAAAATAAACATGTAACAGTTACCATACACTTATAACATTGTTGTTGGTGTTATAAGTGCTCAATTTTTTTATTGCCATCAGTAAATCTGGTCAATCAAGAAACCAAAGAAACTGGACTGTTCATCTTTGTTTTTTTATGTACAAGACAAAAACGGACAACCATTCGATAAAAAAAAGACAATCGATTCACAAATAGCAAAGATTATATTGTAACAAATACAAAAAAAATGACAATGAAAATTCATTTCTTTTTAAACTAACTTCTGTTTTGTCTTTGCTTAATATTATATATAAATGATTATTTCTTCCAGGCGAGGTGCTATTTGCAGTGGGCGGTTGGTGTTCAGGGGATGCCATAGCGTCGGTTGAGAGGTTCGACCCACAGACCTCCGAGTGGAAGATGGTGGCGCCCATGTCTAAGCGGAGGTGCGGGGTGGGGGTAGCCGTGCTACACGACCTGTTGTACGCTGTCGGTGGCCATGATGGACAGAGCTATCTCAACAGTATCGAGAGATACGACCCTCAGACTAATCAGGTAACTTGTAGTATCCGAATAAACCATGACATCCGGTTTTCTTATAAACTTATTATCTTAGTTGATGCTTATTGTATTATAGTTAAACCGCCGTAAGCTTGGCCCGATGGTTTGCGGGACGCGGGGCGGGTGATGCGCTCGGCTATACATGACACGGTGTACTAACTCGATATCTTCAGATTTATTTGTTTGAGATTTAATCTACACACGATGTAATAAAAATCGAATTTATTTCCATGTATTATAATGTCAGTGTATTGTAAGTTTTTATGATTAATTGTAAAATTTAATACTGTAAAATAATTTTAATAAAATCACCTTATCTTCATCATGTAAATTATATTCAGATACAATTTAAAAATTAAGTAAAATAATAAATATTCTTTATTAAAACTTTAACAGTAGAATATCTGTAAGCCGAACTTCAAATTTTTAAATCTTATTGTGACGCAGAGTCGGCAGATTATCCATGTTGCAAAATAATATCGTGTGTAGCAGTCTTAAGAAAAATAACACGTACAGCCATACTTTCACGTCAGTCACTGCCGGCGGACAGCGACGCACTAGCTAATTGGTTGAATGCACCCCCGCCCCGCGTCCCCCAAACCATCAGGAGGGCCAAGCTTACGGCGGTTTAACTATGGTTATAAAATTTTATGTTGTATTTCAAAGGAGTTTATGCAACTTAGTTTTTAGTGTAATTTTTAAGAAGGAAAATAATTATTTCAATTTCTATTACGGAAGTTTTTGTGAAAAAATAATTTAAAGGGACCAAAAATGTTACCTTGAGGAACTCCTATCTCGGTCGTGGCACCGTGTTCTATGTTTGACGGTTTTAAGAACTGTTTGTTACGACTAGCGTAAATATGACCTGGTTGACCTATAATGATTTACTCGAAGGGTCCGAGAAATGAAACCACAACTGTAATCTGATCTAGCTTAAGTAGCTTATATTTATTAAGTAACTTATACTATTGCACTAAAGTAAACGCTAGCGCGATTTAGAGGAATGGTACAACGCCATCTATCGATTCATGATATAAACATACTTGCACGACGTAAACTGTTTTGGTCGTGAACATACCGCCCACCAAGGACATTTAGTGCCGAAATGTCCTTCGAAAATAACAAATAACAAACAATTTACCTCGCCTTAATGTAAATTTAACAACAAACAATTGCTCTAAACTAAACTACATGCTACTGGATACACACAAGTAAGCTAACAATAATTTTAAATAAAATACTTACAAACTAACATACAAATATAACAAATCAAATGAAATAACGAACAACATTACATTAAGAATGAAACAAACATTCAAACATCAACCTTATCAATATCTAAGTTGCAACAGGTAAGACACAAAACTTATTGATTGGCCTCTTAATGGTGGATGACTTAGTACGTAACGTGACCACTCGCGTGACGCCATCATGGCCAGGATGTTTATCTATAATGCGGCCTAGAGACCAACGACTTGGCGGCAAGTCGTCTTCCTTAATGAGACCTATGTCTCCGATACTTGGTTCAGGCGATTTGGCAGCCCATTTATACCTGTTCATAAGGTTGCATAAATACTCCTTGGACCATCGCTTCCAAAATGATTGCATCATTCTTTGGACTAGTTGCCATCGAGTTAGAGAAGTTACACCAGAAGTCTCATGGTTATAGTCAGGAACTGTTAGCAAGGGTTCACCAACCAAAAAGTGTCCTGGTGTCAAGGGCAACGGCTCACCGGGATCATCCACCTTAATGACGCTTATTGGTCGTGAGTTCAAACAAGCCTCTACCTGACACAAGAGTGTACTGAGCTCCTCATAAGTCAGTGTTGCGTCACCAATAACTCGTTTGAGGTGATATTTCGCCGATTTTATTCCTGCTTCCCATAGACCGCCAAAATTGGGTGCATGGGGAGGAACAAAATGCCATTCTGTACCGTTGGCCTCCAATTGTTCCGCAATGGCGGGTTGTAAGGTGCTTAACTCTCGGAGCTCTCTAGCGGCACCTACAAAGGTCGTGCCGTTGTCACTCCAGAGTTTTGCACAATGACCTCTCCTAGAAACAAACCTCCTAAAGGCCGCCAAAAATGCCTGTGAACTCATGTCACTGACTACTTCTAGGTGAATAGCACGTGTGACCATGCATACAAATAAGCACATGTAACCTTTATACGCACGATGTCCGCGCCCTTTAGTCGTTCGTATACTGATAGGCCCAGCATAGTCGACGCCGCTATGCAAAAAGGGTCTGGCGGGTAAACATCTGATAGATGGAAGTGAGCCCATCATTGGATTGGTTGTTTTTGCTCTTTGTCTAGTACACGTGACACAATTTCTGACGCATCGCTTTACCAAGTTTCTCAAACCAATGATCCAGTACGCTGCTCGTAAATAGTTTGTCATCAATTGTGGACCGCCGTGCATGGTTTTATGGTGAGCATGTAGGATAATAAGGTGAGTAAAATGTGTTGAATTAGGCAATATTATTGGATGCTTCGTTTGTTCGTCGATGGGTGCCTTCTCAAGTCTGCCCCGTACTCTCATAATACCTTTACTATCCAGATAAGGACATAATGATTTTAATTTGCTGGCCTTTGTATTCACGTAACCCTTGTCCTTCAACTCTGCTAGTTCCGCTGAAAATATTTGTGCTTGTGTCCTTTTTATACAACATACTAACGCGCTTTCTATTTCTGTACCCCGTAAATATGCTCTCCTTTCTGCCTTAACCTGAATAAATCTTCGGCAATAAGCTATGACCCTTAGCAACCGGTTCAACGTTGAAAATCTCTCAAAAATGTCTGAGTCTTCCGCTACGGTAGCTATGTGCGCCTTGATTGACTGCTCTAGAGTTATTATTAAATCCTTTGGCCTTTTGTATACAATAACTCTCTCCTTTAGGAATTGTGGTCCGGAAAACCACAAATTCGTTTGAACTAACAAACTCGGATATACACCTCTAGATGCGCAATCAGCTGGGTTTTCTTTTGTTGACACGTGAAACCACTGAGACGCATCCATTGCACTCAATATTTCGGATGTACGGTTTGCAACAAAAGTTTTCCACTTACTAGGGTGACTGCTTAACCACGCTAGCACTATGGTCGAATCCGTCCATGCTTTGACCTTGTCTCTTGGGATATTTAGAACCTCTGCGATTTCCGTTAGGAGCTTAGAAAGCAATACCGCGCCCGATAGCTCTAGACGCGGAATGCTGATCTGCTTAATTGGAGCAACGCGGGATTTTGCTGCTACCAACGAAAGAGACACATTCCCGTTGTCATCGGTTCTTCGAAGGTACACTACGGCGGCATACGCCGACTTTGAGGCGTCACAAAATCCATGGAGTTCGACGTCATCATTAGCCCCCGTGCCAAACCAACGAGGAATCTGAACCTTGGTTAGCTGCAACAGTTCTTCACGGTAAGTAGTCCATTCAGTAACTATTTCGTTCGCTAAAGGTTCATCCCAGCCTAGTCCTGTAAGCCATAATTTTTGGATTAGCATTTTTGCTATTACTACGGTGGGAGATAGCCATCCCAATGGATCAAACAGACGGGCAATATCTGATAATATTGTTCTTTTAGTTATAGGTGCGGCGTTTAATGATGGGAGATTTAAGGTGTATTGAAAACAATCCTTACTTCGGTTCCAGGTAAGACCTAGAATTTTCATAGTGTTGTCTAATTTTATATTTATTCCTTCCTTAACACACTCTGTACTTATGTCCCCTTCTGTTGACCTGATTGGTGCCTCATCTCTTTCCATGGACTGTATTTTGTCTAGCATTACTTGGTTGTTACTGCTCCATTTCTGCAAAGTAAAACCTCCTTTTCCTAATAAACCTACCATTTCCTTATATATTTTAATGCCATCTTCTACATTGGAACACCCTGTCATCAAATCATCCATATAGAAACAGTTCAACACTCTATTTGCGGCCAGTGGGAATGCTTCACCTTCATCATATGCGAGTTGATGTAACGTTCTCACTGCTTGATAAGGTGCCGATGCGGTACCGAATGTAACTGTGATTAATTCGTAATCAGTTATTTCTTTTCCAGGGTGATCGCGCCATAATATTCTTTGAAATACAGCGTCTTCTTCAGCTACACGTACCTGACGATACATCTTAATGATATCTGCCACTAATCCAATTTGATGTGCTCTCCATTTTAAAACAATATGCCTTAAGTCGGCTTGTAGCGTCGGTCCGATCATCAGCGTGTCATTCAATGATACTCCGTTCTTATTCTTCTCTGATGCATTGAACACGACTCTAACCTTTGTAGTAGTCTTGTCTTCTCTGACTACAGCGTGATGGGTAGATACACAGCTATATCCCTCATAGTGTCGTTCTTCGGTACAGGCTTCATATGACCTAACTCTAAATATTCCCTTATGACTTGAACATACTTACCTTTTAAATCACAATTTTTCTCTAATCTTTTCTCTAATGTCTTAAGCCTTATTTCAGCAATAGCACGAGAAGATCCAGCCTTACACAAAGGGTCTTCAGTTCTGAATGGTAACTTAACCACATATCTACCATCCTCTCTTCTAGTGGTAGTGGCCTTATAAAACTCTTCGCAGCGTAACTCTTCTGGGGTAAGCAGTTTCCTTACATTTGTTTGCTGTTCTTCAACTTCCCAAAACTTCTTAAGTAGTTCGTCTTCTTTGAACTGAGTGTGCATTACATTTATATTTCTAGGTGTAAAGGTTGATCTGTTTGATGTTGTGAGATTGTTCTCGTTACTAACTGCGCCAGATAGGATCCATCCCAAAGTCGTACTCTGTGCTATAAGAGTGCCAGCGGGGTTTTTCAACATCGGTTCCTTCAAGATGCAGCTGTATACTTCTGCGCCCAATAAAATGTCTATTTTATTGGGTTGATAAAACTCAGGGTCGGCTAAATCCTTTGGGCTGATGTTCAACCATTCAAAGGCATCTCTATTCATTCCCTTCTCGGGTAAGTGCGATGTTATTTTATTAAGAACGTAAGCCTCTATATTTAACTGGACTGTCTGATCTACTTGTGATTGTAATTTTAATCTTACCATATATTTTGACAGTGACGATTGATGACCCAAGCCAGATACTATTCCCCTTACAGGTATTTTTGGTAATCTTAAATACTGCACGGTAGCCTCTGTTACTAAACAAGCTTGTGAACCTTGGTCGATCAGTGCCCTCACCACCTGATAATTACCTGTCTTGGACTCAGCCTTAACTAAAGCCGTGGCGAGTAACACCTGTCGAGGTATCTGCAGAGCCCTTGAAAAGCATGAGACCAACGGTGTAGTACCACTTGCGGAACTTGACGAATCAATAATCATCGGGTTTTCAGATTTGTTATTTTTATTTATAAACTCGCTTAAGTGGAGTAACGAATGATGTCGCTTTTTACATATTTTACAGGCAGATGGTTTTTGACAACTGGCTACACTGTGGTTTCCCCCTAAGCAATTAAAGCATAATTTATGTTTAACTACAAATTCCCGTCGGTGAGCAACAGACTGTTTAGCAAAACCCTTGCAAAAACACAATTTATGCCCTTCGGAACAGTATTCACAACTCATCCTGTTCGAACTCACAGCCACCATAGTCTTGAGACCATGCGAACCGCTGACCTGGTGAGCCGAGACCCTTTTCGGCTCTATACATTCAAGAGCGCGAAACCTATTTTCAATAAAAGAACAAAATTGTTGGAAGGTGGGTAATTCGTTAGAGTCATTACTACTAACGTGTAACTCCCACTGTTTGCGTGTTTCCGTATCAAGTTTGAAAGACACAATGTGTATAATAATAACGTCCCACGTAGTCACGCTAACGTCTAAGTTACTGAGAGCATTGAGACAATCGTTTGTAGTGTCAAGCAACTCCTTTAAAGAAATCGCTGACTCAATAGACATTCGTTTCTGTCCAAAAAGACGTTTTAAGATACAATTTACTAGATATTTTTTGTTATTGTACCTCTTTTCCAATTGAGACCAACATTGATTATAATTACACTCCGTTACTGGTGTATGCCTAACTAACTGTTCGGCCTCACCACCTAGGTGACTCTTAAGGTAATGCATCTTTTGTACATTGTCCAAATTTTCGTTATTATGAACGAGAGACGTAAATAAGTCGCGAAATGTTGTCCACTCTGCATATTTGCCGGTGAACGTGGGGATTTCTATTTTAGGCAAGTTGACAAAACAATTTTTCGATGCGTGTACCTTACTATTATAATTCCCTACTTGCATAACCTCCGTTGAAGTATCATATTTCTTCAACATAGTTTTAATTAAACTTTTATAGCTTATATAGGTATCTTCAGTACAGTCGTACATTTCGACTAACTTTGATATCTCAGGCACCTTATGTTTTTCTTGTACCTTAATATAATTATCCTTGAACAAAGCCCAATCCTTTTCTAACAACTCTTGCCTTGTTTCAATGTACTCAACACACAACCGGTCCTTTGGACACTTTTTAAAATTTGTAAGGCCTCTTTGAATAACACCTTGAAGTAAAGGACCTTCAAGGTGTTCACATTAAGTAACCCTTCCATTTTTACAAATCAAGATAAAACGAACGATAAAAAGTTATAAATTCTAATTTTAAATTATCGAGTATGATAGTAAACTAACACAGAAAATAATTTAATAACCAACTCAACATTTTCTAAGTTTCGAGAGTATACAAGTAAATTTCTTAAATTTTTACAAGTGTTTGAACTTAGTTTTGCTATCGGCGGTAAACGGGTCTAGTCTAGTCGTTCCCCCGTTATTTCTAAAATATACTAAGTCCTAAATCTAAACATGCACACTTTTATTAAATTAAACAAATTATTCTAAGTCCAGCTTGATCATCTTCACAAATTTTCTAAGTTCCACAATGAATAATAAAACGTTAAAGTTAAAAAGTTCCTTGAAATTCTGTTCACTGTTTTAATAGAAAAATAAATGTACTCACGTTTGCACTTCACTGTATTACCCACGTACTGGTGGTGCCCTCTATCGGCGGTGACGAACTGCACTTCACTTTCTCTGCTTCCTCACACAGCATAAACACTCAGCAATAGCCAATTCACTCGAATTTTTGCGTGTGTGGAGGAACGGGTGTCATGTCCCTCCAACCATGTCAGGCGAGGTGATCATGCCTGGCGGGCCGCGGCCCAACGGTTGATGTTGGGAAGTTGTATATATGCTAATCGGCGAGGGAAATCTTTATATCGCGATACAGGATTAGCAATTCTTATTTTAGTAGTTACTCCGTAGTTCGGTGTGTCTTCATTAGATGGCGCTGTAGTATGTTTCTGTTTCTTTGTATGTGGGAGTCGCCACACGTGCTTGATGTCTTGATGTGTGGCGCCCTCTGTCAGGCGTATTTCGGCTCCTTGACGCTGTCGAGATTATGGTAAAATCCCACACGCGCCACAAGGCCACTTGTTGTTTCGCACCCTTGCGCAGCGATCCACTGCAGGTACTACTGACGGTCTTACTACAAGACCGTTGAACTAGCGGTTCGATTATCCGCCTTATCCGGATATCGCAGGACCAATGTTAGGACTAGCGTAAATATGACCTGGTTGACCTATAATGATTTACACGAAGGGTCCGAGAAATACCACAACTGTAATCTGATCTAGCTTAAGTAGCTTATGTTTATTAAGTAACTTATACTATTGCACTAAAGTAAACGCTAGCGCGATTTAGAGAAATGGTACGACGCCATCTATCGATTCATGATATAAACATACTTGCACGACGTAAACTATTTGGGTCGTGAACAATGTTATTATTTATAATTTAAAAGATGTAATGAGTAGTAGTTATACACGTATTTCTATTAATCTTTGCACTGCATTTTTTGGTCAATATTCTACTATACATACAATCAAAAGTTCATCACAAAACTGTCACGAACTAACTCACAATTGTTGAGCACTTATTTATTTTACTATAAAGTCTTCATACAAATGTATGATACGATAAACCAAACTAATAGAAGGTATGTGTGTGTGTGTGTGCGTGCAGTGGTGCGGCGCGGTGGCGCCCACGTCGTCGTGCCGCACGTCGGTGGGCGTGGCCGTGCTCGAGGGCGCGCTCTACGCCGTGGGCGGACAGGACGGCGTGCAGTGCCTCAACCACGTCGAGCGGTACGACCCCAAGGACAACCGCTGGACCAAGGTATGTGTGTGTGCGTGCAGCACGTCGTCGTGCCGCACGTCGGTGGGCGTGGCCGTGCTCGAGGGCGCGCTCTACGCCGTGGGCGGACAGGACGGCGTGCAGTGCCTCAACCACGTCGAGCGGTACGACCCCAAGGACAACCGCTGGACCAAGGTATGTGTGTGTGCGTGCAGCACGTCGTCGTGCCGCACGTCGGTGGGCGTGGCCGTGCTCGAGGGCGCGCTCTACGCCGTGGGCGGACAGGACGGCGTGCAGTGCCTCAACCACGTCGAGCGGTACGACCCCAAGGACAACCGCTGGACCAAGGTATGTGTGTGTGCGTGCAGCACGTCGTCGTGCCGCACGTCGGTGGGCGTGGCCGTGCTCGAGGGCGCGCTCTACGCCGTGGGCGGACAGGACGGCGTGCAGTGCCTCAACCACGTCGAGCGGTACGACCCCAAGGACAACCGCTGGACCAAGGTATGTGTGTGTGCGTGCAGCACGTCGTCGTGCCGCACGTCGGTGGGCGTGGCCGTGCTCGAGGGCGCGCTCTACGCCGTGGGCGGACAGGACGGCGTGCAGTGCCTCAACCACGTCGAGCGGTACGACCCCAAGGACAACCGCTGGACCAAGGTATGTGTGTGTGCGTGCAGCACGTCGTCGTGCCGCACGTCGGTGGGCGTGGCCGTGCTCGAGGGCGCGCTCTACGCCGTGGGCGGACAGGACGGCGTGCAGTGCCTCAACCACGTCGAGCGGTACGACCCCAAGGACAACCGCTGGACCAAGGTATGTGTGTGTGCGTGCAGCACGTCGTCGTGCCGCACGTCGGTGGGCGTGGCCGTGCTCGAGGGCGCGCTCTACGCCGTGGGCGGACAGGACGGCGTGCAGTGCCTCAACCACGTCGAGCGGTACGACCCCAAGGACAACCGCTGGACCAAGGTATGTGTGTGTGCGTGCAGCACGTCGTCGTGCCGCACGTCGGTGGGCGTGGCCGTGCTCGAGGGCGCGCTCTACGCCGTGGGCGGACAGGACGGCGTGCAGTGCCTCAACCACGTGGAGCGGTACGACCCCAAGGACAACCGCTGGACCAAGGTATGTGTGTGTGCGTGCAGCACGTCGTCGTGCCGCACGTCGGTGGGCGTGGCCGTGCTCGAGGGCGCGCTCTACGCCGTGGGCGGACAGGACGGCGTGCAGTGCCTCAACCACGTCGAGCGGTACGACCCCAAGGACAACCGCTGGACCAAGGTATGTGTGTGTGCGTGCAGCACGTCGTCGTGCCGCACGTCGGTGGGCGTGGCCGTGCTCGAGGGCGCGCTCTACGCCGTGGGCGGACAGGACGGCGTGCAGTGCCTCAACCACGTCGAGCGGTACGACCCCAAGGACAACCGCTGGACCAAGGTATGTGTGTGTGCGTGCAGCACGTCGTCGTGCCGCACGTCGGTGGGCGTGGCCGTGCTCGAGGGCGCGCTCTACGCCGTGGGCGGACAGGACGGCGTGCAGTGCCTCAACCACGTCGAGCGGTACGACCCCAAGGACAACCGCTGGACCAAGGTATGTGTGTGTGCGTGCAGCACGTCGTCGTGCCGCACGTCGGTGGGCGTGGCCGTGCTCGAGGGCGCGCTCTACGCCGTGGGCGGACAGGACGGCGTGCAGTGCCTCAACCACGTCGAGCGGTACGACCCCAAGGACAACCGCTGGACCAAGGTATGTGTGTGTGCGTGCAGCACGTCGTCGTGCCGCACGTCGGTGGGCGTGGCCGTGCTCGAGGGCGCGCTCTACGCCGTGGGCGGACGGGACGGCGTGCAGTGCCTCAACCACGTCGAGCGGTACGACCCCAAGGACAACCGCTGGACCAAGGTATAATTGATATGGAAAATGTTTCCTATCTCGCAGTCAAAATTTTTATACAAAAGTAGAAAGGTTAGTGCACAGATTTTTCGAAGCCTTTTGATACGGTGGATCTTGGTAGTTTCGTAAAAATACTTTATTGCATAAAAACACGACTATCATTCTAAAAATACTGCTGTTCATATTTTCGCTACTGATGGACAATCGTCACGATTTCAAGTTTTGAATTTGAGGTTAAGACTATTTCATCAAGCGTCCCTCAAGGATGTCGAGTGGGACCCGACGTAAATGTGGAGGGTTGCAGGTGGCGGCAATGACGACGCGGCGGCTAGGCGTGGCCGTGGCGGTGCTGGGCGGGCAGCTGTACGCGGTGGGCGGGTCGGACGGGCAGGCGCCGCTCAACTCGGTGGAGCGCTACGACCCTCGCGCCAACAAGTGGACGCCCGTGGCGCCCATGTCCACGCGCCGCAAGCACCTGGGCTGCGCCGTCTTCGACGGACAGATCTACGCCGTAGGCGGCCGCGATGACTGCACCGAGCTGTCATCGGCCGAGAGGTCAGTGGCCAATCCATGCCCAGTTAGGACTTCATTGACACCTATTTATCATATATATTTGTTTTTTCTTCTCCGTTTTGGTTAACGTTGTTAAGTTTTTAAAGTATTTTAACTGTCTTAAGGTAACCTTTAAAGAAATGTATGCGATGGCTAGGTACGAGCCGAGCACAGACACGTGGTCGCCGGTGGTGGCGATGACGTCCCGGCGCAGTGGCGTGGGGCTGGCCGTGGTCAACGGACAGCTCTACGCCGTGGGCGGGTTCGATGGAACCGCCTATCTTAAATCCATAGAGGTGAGCCTTCATACACTTTGAACACGCTAAAGCTAAACCCTCATGTGTAATATACAGCTTATATTGTTCTCGTAATGAACTAATATTTTTTCGTCCAGGTGTTCGACCCAGAGTCGAACCAGTGGCGGTTGTGCGGCGCGATGAACTACCGACGGTTGGGCGGCGGAGTCGGTGTCATGCGAGCGCCACATCACGACAACCACTACATATGGTAACTATACTCCCTCAGTTATTGTGTACTCGCTGGGACATATCGGTACTCGCTGGGACATATCGGTACTCGCTGGGACATATCGGTACTTGCTGGGACATATCGGTACTCGCTGGGACATATCGGTAGTCGCTGTGTACTCGTGTGGGTACTCGTGTGGTACTTCGCGACACAGAATTTATTCCTAATGCGGGCGTTGTCTTTTTAAGAAATGTGTCCATGGACGGGTTGTCACTTACCATCAGGGCTGGTGTGCTCGTTTTGTCCTACCTTAACTAAAATAATTGTAAGGTATGGGGATTTGTGTATATTATCATGTGTTATTAAACATAATATGCTTTTTTAAATGTTTGTGCTATCGTTTTGTTTCAGGAATCGAAAAGACTCGGTGGTGTGAGCCACCCCCCTCTCCCTGCGATGTAAGATATTCCCCCTCCACTCGTATCAAGTTAAGTCGTTACTCATTTATTTTATTGTTAATAAAAATATATAATTAAATGACTATTTATAAATAAATGAAAATACAAATTTTAGAATATTAAGTTTGAGTTTTATTTTATTATAAGGAAACGGTATGTTTAGCAGCGACTTCCACATTTAAAGAAAAAAAAAACATTACTACCTCTCCTACCTCCACAGCGGTGACCCCGACGTGATTAAAACACGCATCCTTGGTCCTTCCATCCAAGGGAGGATTCTCCACCATCGAGGTGATCTTGCCTGGCGGACCGCAACCCAATGATAGATGTCGGGAACTTGTGAATATACTAATAGAAGAATATTTATTGCAGGATAGTAGTACTCCGTAGTTTTTTATGTCTTCGTTAGATGGTATAACAGTATGTTTTTTCGTTATATGTGGAAGTTGCTACATCTTAATGAACAAGATTCTAATATATTAAGATAAATTACAATGGAATAGACGCAAAAAAGTAACGACAGCAGAATTCATTGTCTTTACCTCAAGAGCCCTAATACACTTATTCCGATGCCTTTTAGGTTTCATTCTAAGTATCTACGCTTTTTTTAATCTGCTTCATGCTTAATCGTCTTTTTCCTTAGTTCTACTTCGTTTTTCTACTCTTTCTAATGTGGTGTCGATGGTAGCGGAGACGTTGCCTTATCCACTGCCAGTTGTTCATCGCTGTCATCATCACCGTTCCCAATCTCTTCGTCTTCTCCCTCTCCATTTTCATCACCCTCTACTCCTTCCTCGCCCTCTACGCCATTCTCCTCGTTAGCCTCCTCAGCGTTTTCTTGACTCAGAGTGCGTTCTGTAGAGTCTGTGTTCTCTTCTTTGTTTCGTCGCTGAAACATTTTAGGTGAATTGTAATAACAAGAAGAAAATAGTATCTGATTTTAATATCGAAAATACTTAGTACTAAGACTATTTTTACCGCCTAGTTTTAGTAAAAGATATATATTTTTATATATCCCGTCCCGTCCGTGTGGTGACGGATTTTAGAATACAGAGTGTCACCACCCCTATTCATCCCGTGGGTGTCGTAAAAGCCGACTAAGGGAAAAAACTACGCAGAACAACAGCACTGCAGAGAGAAGGAAAACTTGAAACAAACCCTGTACCAACCCGTCTGGCCAGCGTGGTATAGTAGGCCAAAACCTGCTTTCTAAGGAGAGGCTTATGTCCAGCAGTGGACTATTAAAGGCTATTGATGTGATGATGATGATGATGATTTTTTACACAGAAAATTAAAATAGTGATTCCTACGATTCCTACAAAATCAAATTAAGACAACGTCATCTTCTTGACTTCTTCCATGGGCAAAAGAAGTAGTAATACTGATTTTTATTTTGGGAAAATGTTCCAAAATTTTATATACAGGGTGTAAGGGACATCGTAACGAATACTGAAATAGTGTATTCAGACCATGATTCTGAGTCGAAAATCGTTGAAGTTTTGTGCCGGAAAATTTATCATCTTTTTTATAAAATTTCCATTTTTTTTGGTTAAAAATGAAATCACAATAAGTAAACAGAACATTTCACCGAAAACATATTAATAAATACCGCATAGGTCAAAAACTGCAATGTAATTAATCAAACAGCCGAAGTGCGCGGAGCCTCCCCTCCGGCCGCCAACTTGTGTTAGTGTGCGTAGACTGTTTGCACGGAATACACATGTAGTTATTACTTTTTTGCGATAACAACGGGGAATGACCTTTACCTTTACCTTTGACAGTTGCATAAAAAGTTCAATTTTCCGGCAGAAAATTCCAATGATTTTAGACTCAAAACGATGGTCTGTATATACAGTTTCATTCGTTACGATGTCCCTTACACCCTGTATATTAGAAAGATACATTATCCAAATTATTTTTGCTTAGAATAGCTTTCTGGATGAATGTATTTGCTGACTTTTTAATCAAAGTTTCTGAAGACTGCTGTATTATAGGAACTACCTAGAATAATAATAAAACCGAAGTGGTTTAGTAAGGCGCACCTTCTTCTTTTTCTTATTCTTGAGCTTTGCTTTCCTCTCTGGCACGCTGTATCCTAACGGGAAGAACCTTGCACATTCTTCACTGCCCTTCACGGCATCTTCGCTAATGTGAAGAGGACCTAGGGCCACTAAGTCTTCTGGGGCTTCTGCTGGGAACAGCTGTTCGGGATCGGCTAAGAGTGGTTCTGCGAGACCTACTGCTATCATTAAAACTATGGTTTCGCAGCTGGAATAGAAAAAGTTATAAATTAGAAATATATTTAAGAAGAAAATGAAAGCTTCTGAATCCAAGAATCAGGAAAAAATCAAGATATGTCCGAATCTGGAAATAGTGGACATTCTAACCGCAAGTATGATTTAGCCATTAAAGATTGTCCGTGTGGTGACGGTGTTCGTGTGGTGACGAATTAAGAATATGTCACCACCCCTGTTCATCCCGCGGGTGTCGTAAGAGACGACTAAGGGAGCAAACTGCGTAGGACAACAGTAGAACACTGCCAAGAGAAGGAAAACTTGAAACAAACCCTATACCAACTCGTCTGGCCAGCGTGGTATAGTAGGCCAAAACCTCCTTTCTAAGGAGAGTCCAGCAGTGGACTGTTAAAGGCTGTTGAGATGATGATTAAAGATTTGTCGTGACGACGCCTTGAGATGCGACCTGGGCCGTCGATGTCAGACGCGATAGGCACGACGTTGACAAGACTTTATTAAATTTGTATACTAAAATAGGTATTCTAATGACTCTAATAATAAAATTTATACATATTATTCATATTATTATATGGATTCATTGCTAAGAGCCTCGACCAACATCTTCAGAGGCTCGCATAAGCAGTTGGATTAAGGGTCTGATGCAGGAAGCAGTTCTTCTCGATACGGCACGTATTGTGAGGAGGTTTCTGTCTCTGGAGTCCTAACCACCGATATCTGGGTCTTTTTTTATATATTTTTTTGTACATAAATATATTTAAAAATGTAATTTATATCTATATTTAATCTAGTAAACAGAATAATACTATTTTCAAACATTTCACACACGGCAGTCTGATCCCAAACTAGGCAGAACTTGTACTATGGTAACCAGACTGCTGATAAACATACATATATTTTTTTAAGTACATACATATTATAGATAAGTACACCCAGACACAAAACAAATGACCATGCTCATCACACAATTATTTGTCCTGAGTGGGAATCGAACCCACGACCTCTAGCGTAGCAGTCAGTGTCACCAACCACTAGACCAACAGGCCAGTCAAACTTGTCTCATAAAATAATTATAAATGAGCACATATTTATGCCAACTAAGCATATACAATATACACCATATACGCGTCTGCGTATCTCAAAAGGAATAAAATGTCCCCGTTTATGCCGCATTTTTCATTGAGACTCGGTTTCTATAAGTCCTTTGCCTGATGTTATATAGCCAAAACCTTCCTCAATAAATAGGCTATTCAACACTCAAAGATTTATTCAATTCGAATCAGTAGTTTCATAGATAAACGCTTTCAACAAACCAAACAAACGCTTCAGCTTTATAATATTAATAGATAAGCGTATATAAACACCGTTATGCACTAAAGGGCGCTACACACGGCTAAGATACTATAATATTTTATCTTAAGATACAATATTGCTCGCCATGCTATCTCTGTCTTACGATACGAAAATCTATACTAATATTATAAAGCTGAAGAGTTTGTTTGTTTGTTTGAACGCGCTAATCTCAGGAACTACTGGTCCGATTTGAAAAATTCTTTCAGTGTTAGATATCCCATTTATCGAGGAAGGCTATAGGCTATATATCATCACGCTAAGACCAATAGGAGCGGAGCACCAATTAAGAATGTTTAAAAAACGGAGAACATTTATTACTATTAAGAGACGCAGACGAAGAAGCGCGGTTCAGCTAGTATCAAATAAATATTATCTTCGTCGTGTGTAATGTTCCATTGAATAGTATGGCGAGCGATATTGTATCTTAAGATAAAATATTATAGTATCTTAGCCGTGTGTAGCGCCCCTAATAGCATTAAAGAAATATCCGTACTAGTCCTTATCCGGCCTTAGTTCATACTGGTCGATATTCTTGCACACCAATGTGGGTTCCTCAATATTGGTGTCCGCGAAGAAACCGTAGTGCATGAGCCTCGATACCAGATTGGGCTGGGTCGCGATGGACAGTACGGCTCGTCGCTGCCATGCGCCGAACATTATAGCGATGTGAGGTGGCACCGGAGCGGGCGGAGGTTCAATTACGGAGCCAACCATCTGGAAATTAACATACTGAGGGCGTATTCTAACGTACCAATTTAAACTACTTGACTGCACGGATAACGTAGTGGTTTAAGCCAGGGTTTCCTAAAGATCGAGGTCGAAATCGGTTTCCAAGGGGTCGACATGAACAAAAACTGATTTTCGGGATCGACGAGGTCTAAAAATCGACCCCGATTAATTAACACAAGTTCTTATTCGAAACTTTCAAAATACTGTATTAGTTGTGTTACGTGTACCGACATGTTGTAATAGTGACTAATATTTTAGTAGGAAGTATCACTGTTGTACTTCTAAAAACTCCAACATTTCGATAAACGTGCAGTAATTTGGCTGGTAATTTGGTTCTGAGGTATCAGTTTATTTTAGAAAAGGGGTCTTTTGACTAAAATAGTTTGGGAATCCCTGGTTTAAGCGGTCACCTCGGCACAAGGGACATCACTTTGTATGATCCAGAAATTATTTTCCTGAGTTTTTTTTTTGTTCTTTGTGTCCGTTTCATGTATATGTGTATGTGTAAGTCGTAAAATATTTCTTAGATGTTTACCTTAGGGAACAATAAATCTAGAGCAGCAGCTCTTTGATGTCTGTCCGCGGGCACAAATATTCCCGGGACGTCATCAGCTCGAAGTTCTGTAGATGGCAATTTCTTCCTGGCCTCGTCATTTTCGTCCAGATGGTCACCGCATAGAGCTTGACGAGTCAGTTCTGTAATAAATTATTTAACAGCCTTTTGTGATGCTTTCTACCTTCATTCGCTACTTCAAGGGGCCTTTAACCTTAAACATTTTTCTAAAAAAAAATCGCTGACAGACACTTACGTGTCTGATTCCAAACTGGGCAGATACTGTGCTATGGTATCCCATAGCACAGTATCAGTTTATCATTACTGATAAACATAATTATTTGTAAGTATATTACTAAATACATACAAGGGGCGGTAGCCTAGTGGTTAAGGCCTTGCGATCAAGAGGTCGTGGTTCAAATCCTGACCAGTACACTACTGACGTAAACCCACTCCAAACACAAGCAATTAAGCTTAGCGGGAGGGGTTAACGGGAATTCTAGTAATTTCAGTTGCTAGTAGACCTTAAATAAAAAAAAAAAAACATTGCTCTCGGACAGAGAACAAATGATCGTGTTCATCCTATAGTCGATTGTCCTAAGTTAGAATCGAACTCACGACCTCTTGTTCAACAATTAGTATCACTAACGACCAGACTCGTTAAAAGTCACCTTAAGAGCAGGTACTCATATAATATTCTCACCAATAATATCTCCTTCTTTATCTGGCACTTTCTTGAACAACAGCGCGAGCGAGGGTCGTTCGGCGATCGCAGCAGCAGCAGCAGTGGTCCCCATTTCTGGGTCCTCCACTGCTAAAATCCTCGCGCCCTCTTTTCCTACTACGATGGGACATTTGTCTGCTAATATCAGCCCTGAAATAAAACATGTAATTTGAAAACAAAGTTCATTTTATTAATATATTTTTTAATACACGTTTAAAACGTTTTTTCTGTTTCGATCATAGCAACTAGTTGTATGTTTTAAACAGAAAAATTTACAGATTTTCCTTAGAACTTTTTACTTACATTTTAAGTATTATATAGATATATTGGTTCCAGTTCAAGAAAGACTCCCGGTTGAGCATGCAAGGATGGTCTACCTCCGGTACCGGTGTACTTACATAATAGTAACAAATATTCTACTTAAACTAATTAGCAGATTGAAGATAGTAGATACCAAAAGGTTCAATAGAGTCAGTAATCTTTCTCAGGTTTTTCTGCGCGTGGGGCATCAGTAGCGCTGGACAAATGTCAGCGAAGTGAGTCTCAAGGCGCTGCGCACGCGCCTCCCGCCGGTCGAACCGCGCTGCTTCCACTGCTGCTTGCTCTTTAATCTTCCGTTCTTCTTCTAGCTTTGCTTGACGTGTTGCTATTTCCTGGAAGAGAGGTGAATGAAGTACTTCTGGCAACTGGCAATTTAATGTTATATGAATGTTATGAATTCATTACAGCGCCCTCTAGAGGGTAGAGAATTCGTCATCGAAATATACTTGTAAAACTTTGTTTACTGAGTATATTGTTTTTGATTAAAGATACCCTTGTCCCTTCTGTGCTAAATTTCATGATTATCAAATTTTTATTACCATATGTACTGTGTTATGTTTTTTAAAAAATTATGCCCGTATGTGAATACAAATTTGTATAAAAAATTAAAGATCGAAGGAGCGGTAACGAACGTTATGAGATTACAGTTTACAAATCAAAGTTTTTTTGAAAGGTAGTATTCCTATTAACCCCTCCCGCTAAGCTAAATTGCTTGTGTTAGGAGTGGGTTCACGTCGGTAATGTACTGGTCAGGATTTGAACCCACGACCTCTTGATCGCAAGTCCAACGCTTTAACCACCACTAAAAATTCAATGAAATTCAAAAATCATATCCATATAAATGTTTTGGAATGCATAGGTTCCTATAAAAGTATTTATCCAATATGTAATTAGATTAAAAATTAAATTGTTTATCACATCTTATGTCATTCACCTGTTCCGGGGGAGTGAGTTCATGTGGAGCTCTCTTGATCCTCTCCAGTTCCCCTTTCTTGGCCAACTCCTCATTCTTAAGCTCCTGTTCTATGGTCTTCACGATGCGAGGAGCGTCCGCGCCGAACACCACGTTTATCAGTTGACCTGACTAGAATAGTTATTTATTTATTAATACTTTCTACAAATACATTGCATAAGGCGAACTTAATGCTGTAGGCATTTTCTTCCAGTCGACCTTTGGGCGATGCAGAGCTGTGTGTCACATCATCATTACATCACATCAACAGCCATTATTAGTCCACTGCTGGACATAGGCCTCTCCTTAGAAAGGAGGTTTTGGCCTACTATACCACGCTGGCCAGACGGGTTGGTATAGGTTTTGTTTCAAGTTTTCCTTCTCTTTGCAGTGCTGTTGTCCTGCGTAGTTTGCTCCCTTAGTCGTCTCTTACGACACCCACGGGATGAATAGGGGTGGTGACACTGCGTATTCTTAATCCGTCACCACACGGACAAAGCTGTGTGTGCTAGGTGTGTAATTGAAGCTAATGGAATCATCAACAGCCTTTGTCACCGTGTGGTGACGGATTAGGAATACTGAATGAATGAATGAATATGTCCAGCAGTAGACTGTTAAAGGCTGTTGATGGTGATAATGTTGATGATACACTAGGTATGCCGTATATATTACCGTGGGAGGGACCATGATTGGGTCACAAATGGGCCCGTTCGGAGTGTTACTACGGCCTCGCAGAAAACTAGTGTTAACCAAGTATTCCGTAGCTTTTTATTGAGTGAATGAGGTTATCGGAACTCTAACCCCAAAGACCCTAATTACAGATGGAGAGGGGAGAGGGGGATGTCCATGGGCGACGGTGGACGCTTACCATTGGGTGAGCCGATTAGGGTTAGATCTTTACGCAAAATGCGTTGTAACGATGACCTATGCATTTTTAAAGCAATTGCATTTCAAACATTTTTTTTAATGAAATAAAGATAAGTATTATGGCTTACTTTGACTTGTGCGCTTCTGAATTGAAAGTTTAACACTTAATGTTTTCTGAGGTTCTTGATGACGCTACGATTTTGGTATTCCCAACCTTGCACTGATCTCTTCAAATGTTTTGAATGAGAACAATGCTTGGCGCATCATTTAACAAGAAACTTCGAACATTGCAGAACGAATCTGTTTTTTGCAAAAAGCACAACGCCCAGCCCCCTCCCGAAAAAAGTTCATGAGCTTAGCTGCCTATTGACATATCCCCCACGCCCCTTAGTCTCGTTGCGTTCAGGTAATCAGTTAAACAAATTTAAACTTTCTTTTGAAATACACACTTTCTTTAAGACTTTTGGCGACCTTGCGTTATTTTGGCCAACATATTCTTTCGCAAGTATTTGGAAAACTACCTGTAATACAGTTACAAGGTGAAAGACTTCGACAATGACCTACGTATGTGGATAAGCACTTGTAAAAACACGAAAAACTTCGATGATAAAACTAGCTTTTATTACTGAAAGTTGTTAAGCACTCATCAACATGAAATAGGTAATAGTTAGGTGGGTACGAGTTGCGAAGGAGACGGCGGAGCGGGGCCGGGAGAGGTTTAGGACTCTCCCGGCCCGCCAGGCCCGGGAACGGGCCAGGTACCGCAGGCGACTCAGGCGCCGGAGGTCGCAGAACGACCTCCGTCCTCCATAAGCGCAGGCCTGGGGGTGACAGGTGAGGCCATCTGTCATCCTAGCAGAAGCAGGCCGGGGTGGCGGCGAGCGCGTTGCGAAGCGCGCTCGCTTCCAGAGAGCACAGGGAACATGGGGTTCCCACACGCGGGGGGGGGGTTGTCTACTCGTCTGTAGATGACCCGAGGTATGTCAGGGCACCAGGGACTTCCTTTCTAGGGTATACCTGGTTCCTCGGCTATTAGTACCCGAGACGGCGTGCGGTTTTAGTCGGTTCGAGTCCGACATGTCACCGACAGGTGGTATCCGAGGGGATTTCCGCACGGAAAAAAAAAAAAAGGTGGGTACGTGTTACAGAACAGTGTGGCCATATGGTCTTGTACCATAGTTAGTGAACTGATGAACTACTGGAAATTGGGGTAACTAGGGGTTATAGATAGTATTCTTTATATTACACTAACAGCTATGAACATTTAATTTAAAAATCACATGAACGTCAAAAACGTAAATTGTACATTTTTAACCGGCCTTAAAACAAAAGGAGAACGGTTCCAATTCGGTTGAATTTTTGTTATGTGGGTTACCTCAGAACTCTGAACCATCATTTATGAATCGATTTAGAAATTACCTTTTAAGTAATTATAATTGATTAAATAACGCATTATCGAGACCCAACCCACTTAGTTTTGTCTAAAACAATACTCAAAGAACTCGTTTTCCCAACGGTTGTCGGTAGACTGCGTCGCGGCAAACGTAGTGTAGGACGCAAATCGTCACTCCATCTGGCCACAGGCCACAGGCCACAGGCGCAAGATGGTTGGCAGGAGCTGGATGCGAGAAGCCCAAAATCGATCTAAGTGGTGTGCAATGGGAGAGGCTTATGTCCAGCAGTGGACTGCGATAGGCTGATGATGATGATATTCAATTGCACTTGTGATTGTTAAATTGCGGGTGTCCGTGGGCGGCAGTAGTCAGTTACCATGAAGTGACCTGACTGGTCGTCAACCCCCCATTTAAAAACTTTTAATATACAAAAAGCCATGTATATAGAAAATATAGAGAAAGCCCTGTAAATAACAAAATAAAAAACGCTAAAAATGTAACATGTCAGTTTTTTTTTCTCCAAATGTCGGCATAAAAAATAAGAAAACCAAATCCTTGAAGTGAAATTCACAAATTAAGTTGAACGAATAATATTCAATTTATAATTACAAAAAGAATTATTTTAAACTTATAAACTACTTTTCGGCTACAATAACGCTTTTAAAAATTGACTACACCTGCGTTCTACAGTTCGCATATAACTTCATATATAGACATTTTTTGAAAACGTTTGGTCGATATTCCCTCCATTCGTGTCAGTAAACCGCAAATCATTCTCTTTCCACTCATATGAAGGCACAATATAGACGACTGTAGCTCAAACATATACTGTGATATAGCTATGTTGGCATGTATACCTATTGAGTCGTCCAGCTTTGTTGTATGCAAAATTACTCCGACACACCGTGATAAATTACATACTGTTTTAAAGTAATTAAACTACTGTTTCTACTATTACTATAATTAGTTTGGTAGAAGTTTTAGTATGAATTAACTACTGTATTTTAGTACCGACTTAGTATGGGTAGGTATGTAGATATTTGTCTAAGAATTTTTAACCATACTATTTAAAAGAGTGGTATTATCTCGGCAAGGGTTTCTGTAACATAACTATTCTGGCGAAACATAGATAATACTGGGAAATATTTGTAGATTGGGAGTAATTTTCCATTCGGATCGTTAGAACGTGGATCGAAGATGCAAGTTTGTGTATTTTATTTAAGAAGACGATACCTACAGTGGAATAATGCCGTAAAATAACTTTTGTAATAAGACACATTAGCTATTTGCTTAGTTAATCTATAGAATCTTAAGGAAATACGCACACACAATATTAAAATAATAAGTAAAACTTCACCTACGGAAGTTAATGCGGAAATTTGAATAGGATCTAATACTACGATTATTAAGTCCGTCTACTACGTCAGTCTGGTGACGGATTATGAATACAGAGTGTCACCAGCTCTACTCATGCAGTAGGTGTTGTAAGAGCCAACTAAGAGAGCAAACTACGCAGGACAACAGCACTACAAAGAGAAGGAAAACTTAAAACTAACCCTATACCAACTATGTAGTACTACTGTACACGCATGCCTTTTAGGTAAATTCTGTCGTTTCCATATTTCCCGGCAATTTTGAATTTGGAACTGTTCTACATTCGAATGCGTTTAAATTTTGAATCTCAAAACACTTGAAAGTATTAGGATTAATGCTATTGTTTAGTCACAGCGTCGATTGGAATCTGTCAGGTTACGTACGAAAATGAATCTTTCTAAGGAAAAGGTTCGTGCAATAATTTTCTACAACTTTAGAAGAGGCCTGACACGGCGCCAGTGTTTTGAAGAGCTAACATCTGTGTTCAGTGATGAAGCCCCATGTCTGCGGACTGTCGAACGCTGGTATTTAGAATTCCAGCGCGGACATACTAGTGTTAGTGACAAATCTTTTTTAAGTCAGGGCTTTCAAGTCAGCCATTTTGAACAAAAGTGGGGGCACTTTAGAGTGGAATAAATGTTATAATAACTGATTTGAGCGAATGGAAAAGTGTATTAAGCTACGTTGTGCATACTTTGAAAAACAATAAAAAGTACTATAAGGTTCTAGTTGTGTTTTTTTCTTCAAACGACAAACTTAAAAGGCATGCCTCGTATAGAGGCCCACGTCCAGTAGTGGACTATTAAAGGCTATTGATGATGACATGATGATGTTTGAGTAACCTTCACGTAAGCAATATTCACGTTCACAAAGAACGTGAATATTGTGAATTTCTGCATAATTATGGTACAAGAGCGATCGGCACGAGACACATTTTGTACTTTTTTTATTTTTTAGGGAAGTGACTTGTAGTACATCCTGTATAATTGTTCATATATATTCAATTGGTACATATATACAGGTGTACTATAAGGCACTTCACCTTGTAGTACACCTGTATAATTGTACATATATACTCAATTTTTTCATTCATTTTCTGTTTCAGTATCACTACCATCTGAATCATCAGAGCCATAATCTTCATCCATGTTATGTTCTGTTTTAAAAAAAACAGATACAAAACAGATGACTGTAAATAATCACATCAATTTTACGTAATTTTATTCAAAACGACGTAAAATTGATAAAAAAAACATATAGCTGCAGTTTATATTAGCAAATTAATTATACAAAAATTATTTACAGGTAATTGCGGATAATTTTTGTAGGCAACCTATCGCTAATCCATTGAATACTTCCTCAACATTCATTTAAAATTTATTTCATGAAAAAAAACAGATAGCTGCAGAATCGAGCAGAATCTTAGACTATTCTGTCTATAGTAATTTTATATGGTAGTCAAATTCAGATGTAGCTTTATAAAGATTATGATGCTTACCGCTATAAACATCCACGTTGGCTGACTGCGCTTTCTGAATCTCTTCAAGCATTCTATCGTATCTGACTTTGCCTGAGAAAGTGTGTACAGTCAGTTAAACTTGGCTAGTTGGCTGATAGTTGTAATAAGTCTCCAAACTGCTGCCCATCTCTAGCTTGTTGGAGGCCCTGGGTAAATTAGCTTAATGGGACCCCTACCAACTTAGGTGAGCACCATTTTGTTAGAATAGAAAAAGAAGTGTTGTAAGAATTTTTCAAAATTAATATGTTTTTAGTGATAAATATTGATTTTCGATTGGTGATCAGGCAGGAATCGGGCCCCTATCGCTCGAGGGGCCCTGGGTAAATGCCCAGAGTGCCCAGTGAGAAAGAGGCGCCTGCCAAACTGCTCTGATCGCGTTCATCAACAACGTAAGTTAAATTATCCTCCTTTAAAACCTGTTACAGTTTTGGTAAGTTTTTGAAAAGAATATTCTATAATAACAACATAAGTAGGTACTTACCACAGCTAAATGAAGATTGTCTCCACCAAGTTCCACTTTGATCTTCTTCAAGTTTCCCACCATACCAATGCATGGTCCACACCATTCCGAATACACGTCCACCACTGGACACAAATATATTATTGATTAGTAATGTTAGCAGTTATATTATTATTTTATCTGGTTTACTTCGGACCTGTCACTCAGCCATAAGCACAAAGAAGAATTCCTGGTTCCACTGCGGGAGGTTTTGAACGAATTGTCATGTATGCGAAGAGCGTGCCTGGGGTATTGGGAGATCAGAGAATCAGATGAGAAAATGAGATGAGGTAATTTGTTTGTTAGGTAGGTATATGAATTAAGATGGGTCTGTCTTTAGTGAAAATATGGTTTGAGGACAAGCTGAAATGAGGATATATTTATATTGTTGATAATATACTAAACACGAAAGTGGTAGATAGTTAACCGTGGGTTAAGTGTAGTCTAACTTGGTTGTCTGTTGAAGATCGCAGACTGCAATAAGACTGATGCAGTTACTATTGTTTTTTTAACATATTTTTTTTATTGGTGTGTAATATAATATTTATTTATCTAAAGATATTCTTTAAGCACTTTTCTTATTATGAAATCTAGAATAACACTCTCATACTCGTACAACTTGGGACTTCTTGCGGATGATCTCTTCTCCTCCCTCTAAAGTCCTTGTTAAGGTACAGCGAACTTATCTGTTTCGGTTCTAAAATTGAAGTAGAAACTCACCCAAAAGTCCTTCTCGCTGAAGAAACTTGTTCCAATCATCATCATTGTTGAGTTCTGCCTGTAACTGAACCTGGGCGGCCTTCTTGCCTGCCCCGGCGGCGGCGGCCGCAGCGGCGGCGTTCGCGACCGCGCTCGTTAGAGCCATGCACACGTGTGGCGCGGTAGGCGAGCGCCACCCCAGTGCCGTGACGGGAAAGTGTGACTTGGCATCGTGTAATGGGTTTATGTATGACTTGTGCGAAGATATGGCGAGCGTTTGGTAGGGGCGTTGGTGATAGAAGCAGATAGAGGCGGCATGCAAATTTATTTTATCCGTGAATTTGAAAAGTGATGGTTTTTGATTGTTATTCACCACCCCTATACATCCCGCGGGTCGTAAAAGCTGACTAAGGGAGCAAAACAACGTAGGGCAACAGCACTACAAAGAGAAGGAAAGCTTGTAACAGTTATTTTTTTTTGTGCATTTGTGATACGTACGATATTGATAAAAGCGGCACCTGTTTGGCCGCATCGCTTTGTTGTTGATTTATCTAAAGTAGTTTGTAGCTACGGTATTGATCTCCTTTGTTCACTTTCGGACCACTAGATGGCGTTTGTTTGAGACATGATAGTTTAATTAAAAAGACTTACTTTTTAATCTGTTCTGGTAATCTGTCATGACAAATTGCATAGGTATTGGGAGTGTTCAGCTATGGTGGAAAGCAAGTTACTTTTGATTTTGTTAGCGTTGTTTTCTTTCTCAATGTAAATGTCAAAGTGAAATGATGAGGAGGGATAAAGTCTGGAAGCTTCCTGAACCTAGGATATATAAGTCCGGCTTTCTGCCACGGGAGACACTGCTATCTCATGCCTTCCGATCTTATATAGTGTTTTGATTGTTGTGTGATTTAATTGTCTTAATATACTTTCTGTTCAAATCTACCCACGAAAGTGGTAAGTATGTTGTTAATTCTACTTAAACCTATTTGTTTCTGGAACCTGTTTAATTATATGAGTGCTAATCCATTCGTAGGGTCCCAGATTTCGGGGTCAAGACGGTCAGTCTTAGACGGCGTGCTTGCTCTTTTGTGGCCTTCTGGTACAGACTCAAGTTTCTCGGTACCCTCTGGCAAAGCTGGTGATTGCGCGGCTCACGACGCAAGCGGACAGCCGTACCCAAGAGTTACGTACTTAAACTTATAATTGCAGATTGTTAAACTTTTATCCGTATCTAATATAAATAGCCGACTCGGGCGGAAGAGGAAGTAACCTCCTGGAGGGACGACGAGGAGGCACCGAGCACCATCAGCTCGGCTCTAACGCGCACCGCTGCGGTTTTTTTTTTCTTTTTATTGTACCCACACTGTTTAATTAGTTTAATTTGATCTACTTTTTCTTTGAAATATACATGTATGTATAACTGAGGTGTAAGTTGTTTTCCTCTAAAGAGTCCCATAGGTTTCCCACACACACACACTTCTATTCTCATACAAGGCGCCCTGAGGTAATCTCTTGAATCTCTCCACTGGGTCAGCCGGTGAGTAGTCCGCCAGAGAGGAAAAGCGGCTACAAGCTCAACAAACAAATTTTTTACCGACCCGTCTGGTTAGCGTGGTGTAGTAGGCAAAAATCTCCTTTCTAAGGAGAGGCTTATGTCCAGCAGTGGATAGTCCACTGCTAGACGTACATTGAGTCAAAAAAGTATTGGGAATGGATGATTTGTTTATGGTTCCAAATCCAAATTTTTGATTTTTTTTGTGTTGTTAGATTCGCACAACTGTTTTCCATTTTGGTGCTGGGTATCAGTTGCATCTGTTATTTATATTAAATACAGTACCTACTGTTCTTAGTTATATCATATGCAGTGTGTATTGCGAATTTCATAATGGAAAACATCGAACAAAGAGTTTGTCTTAAATTTTGTATCGCCAATGAAATTTCGTGTTCGGAGTCCCTGAAAATGTTACAGAAGGCTTACGGTGAATCGACTTTATCAAAAACTTCTGAACAAAGCGGTCAAAAGCGGTCGAGATGTGATGGAAGATTTACTTCGCTCTGGTAGGCCATCAACGTCTGCAACTATTATTATTATTATTATCTCACGAGTCGATCCGTACCATTTTAACTAATCATTTGGGTATGAAACATGTTACCGCTCGGCTAGTCCCAAAAGATCTGAATTTTCTGCAAAAACTCAATTGCATGAGAGTCGCTGAGGACATGCTGAAACGAGTCAATTCCGACCCAGCATCCATGAAACGCATTGTTACTGGTGACGAGACGTGGGTTCACGAGTTTGACATACAAACTAGTCAACAAGCTTGGGAGTGGCGTCTTCCAACTGAAAACGAAACCGAAAAAACCACGCCAAATTCGATCAAAGGCAAAGTCATGTTGACTGTTTTCTTTGACTATCGCAGTGCTGTGCACTCGGAATTCTCGCCGGAAGGTCAAACGGTAAATAAAGAATATTATTAGAGCGTTATGCGGCATTTAAGAGGGCAAATTCAACGAAAAAGCCAGATGTGCTGAAAGAAAATTCTTGGATTTTGCCTTCGCACAAGGCCATCATTGTGAACGCATTTTTGACCAAACACTCAACAAATACCCTCGAGCAACCACCATATTCACCAGATATGGCTCCAGCCGACTTCTTTCTTTTTTCTAAATTCAAATTACCACTTCGTGGCACCCGTTTTCAATCGGTAGAAGACATAAAGGAGAATTCGCGGCGAGAACTGAACTTAATTCCGGAAACAGCGTTTAAAAAATGTTTTGATGATTGGATTATTCGTTGGCGCATATCTGCAGGAGCATACTTTGAAGGTGATAAAATAAATTTGGATGAATGACAAACATTTTGTGTATTATTGATCTTTTCCCGGTACTTTCTTGACAGAGTAGTTGGCCTCTCTTAGTTAAGGCTGTTGACGATCATGAGCTTGTATTTAAAAGAAAGCTAGGAAGTTTAAGTGTATTCAACTATATTAAATTAATAGTAAGATAATATCATAGGTACTTACATAAGGTACATTCATACATAGGTTATAAGTACTGTATAGGTATGTATTACATACCTTTAAATCTCTGAAAATAGGTGTCAACTATAATTATTACCTTGCCCCTGCAAGGTAATAATTATAGTTTACGGGTTGGATTTTATGATTTTTTTATAATACATTCATATACCGAGTGAGTGAAGGTAAGGGAAGCATCTACCCCTAATTCTTGTGGGTAGAGCACTCAACTGGCTCAGTAGTCCAGTCTTGAATGTAATAAGTGATTAACTGATATATAAACTTAACTGATATATTAACTTATAAACTTATATATAACTTATTAACTGATATATAAACTTGGCCGGTTTCAAGGGACCTTGCTACTTGCTATTGACAGTACGGACTATACCTAGTTTGGTTATACGCTCAGCGAACGCGGTCGGCGTTGCGAATTGTGAAAATTTCAGTGCGGGCCAATCACAACGCCAAACGCGCTCACCGTGACTATGGATTTAATGTGAAGTAAAGTCTTAATTGGACCTCTAAAGGCCATGTCTTAGATATTTATTATTGTTATAAAATAGTAGGTATCTACATGTTAGTCTTAATAACACAAAATAATAGTTTTAAAATACTAAAAAACACGCTATAGAAAACCAAACTAAACAATAGAAAATAAATTTTAATAAATTTGAAAAAAAGCGTGGGGTGCTTTTTACTATTGACAACAGGCACCCAACGCTTTTTTTTTTTAAATTAATGTATTGTCATCGGTCCTCGATATATCTACAAAGTTTGAACGAATTCTGACCGTTTAAAGTCAGTCAAAATCACGCCCAAAGGAGTCGGTTACAAACAAACATACAAACATACAAGTGAAGCTAATATAAAGCGTGGAAAAACAAATACGAACGTTGGAAGGGATTTAAGTTGCCACTTCGTCGCGTTCCGAACTCTATGCTCCTCGCATGTCAAACTAAAAAGTAGCAAAAATGGTTTTATCGTGGATCCGTAGATTTTATCTGCTGTCGCGAACATACGGTTTAATACGGCAGAGCCGTCGTTAAGGTCAACGTGTTCGATTTGTATCGATTTAGGCAACTGTAGCTTTTGAAAGAACTTATAATGAAAAACTACAGTGAATTGTAAAAGTTTTTTTGAAGCACAGCAGTGAGCATACCTAATTACAGACGCGCGGAGAGAAAAAAAAAACAAACGTCATAATTGATGACAGTCATTATGGGTGCGTTCTATTTTAACAACTTATTTATGTTTAGAATATATGTAGGTACCTACTAGCTTTTCCCCGCGGCTCCTACCGTGTGTATGTCGGTTTTTGCAAAAATGTTCCTACCTGCCGATAGCCCATGTCTTTAATCAAAAATCAAAGTCTCTCCATGCCAAATTACATTAAAATCGGCTCAGCTGTTATTGATTTCTCATACAAACTTCCACCCTCCTTTTCACCCCTTTAAAGGGTGGTTTCTGGGACAAAATGTATTTAATTACCTTTCCCGGGTCTCAAAATATCCCTATACCAAATTTCATCTAAATTTGTTCAGCGGTTTAAGCGTGAAGAATTAACAGACTGACAGACACTTTCGCATTTATAATATTGGTATGGATGTTAATTTTTCAGTTCTACTAAATTCATCATCATCATCAACAGCCTTTAATAGTCCACTGCTGGACATAAGCCTCTCCTTAGAAAGGAGGTTTTGGCCTACTATTCTATATATATATATATATATATCTACTAAATTATTGTATCCATATTCTTGTCATTGTCCGATGGATACAAATATTTCCATATTTTTATAATTTTTGTAACGCGACACATCAATTATCTTTCTAAAGAACAAAAGAAAGTAAGCGTTTAATTAGTTAAGAAAATTTCAAAAACTCAGAGCAATATTGTTTATTTGAAGCATTTACGGGAGATCACTGCCGGCACTCACCTGTGTCTGTGGTGTTTTTTCTCAAAGCTGTGAATTAATGATGAATCATGTATACTGTGAGATTGATACAGATATTATTAGGTGACACGGACACAATTATATTCTCTTCTTTTATAATAAAAGGAAGTTTGGATTTTTTCCAAATTCTTAATGACATCTAGCGATAAGAAGTAAAGTGTTTTGGTAAATCCAACGCTCCATAGATGTCG